GACGTTAAATCCAATTTCACCTCACCTCACCTCTAAGATAGACAAGCCCTGATGATCCAGGGTAAAACAAACCTAGCTTGCATCAATACCAAAGAAAACTATGGGACCTGAGCGCTTGTGGTCTGTAACACAAGCATATTTACTTTATGTACAAGTTTCTAGGGAATTGAAATACTTTAAATCAGTGTCATCGCGTTGTAAATGGGAAACAAAGAATTTATAGATTTCTTTATCTAAGTTTACAAGTGCACTTAATACGCTTCAAAACTGTTTCCATTATTATTAGACAAGTATGCTTAAATTATTAATCAATTATAATTAGGACTGAATCATATGCGTTTAATATTTGAATGACTACCAAATAGTGATGATACTTTATTTTTTTTACGAAAAGATGAGCGTATCCTGCTAAGGAAATTTCCTTTTTGAAATAAAGTAAGTGTGAATTAAAAATGAGATAACAGTATCTGATGTGACAAGAAAAATTAGATTGGTGGTCAATAGAAGGAAGCTGACAATATTTTATTACACTTTGTTCAGGCAGGGGCTGGCTAAATTGATCGATAATCGGAAATATCGTCAACAGGAAAAAAATATTGATTATTACGATATCAAAATTGCATTATCGATGATGTCGTACATTAACTTTTGTGATCGAAAACAGGTTTAATTTTACTCTCACAATATACAAATGTAGGACTTTATTCATGGTCTGCTTCTAAATTATGATTAGGACACTGTTAATAATCCATGCATAAGCATGTCACCACCTGTGATGTGAAATATAATCATTTTTTTTCAGGCATTTATCTCAAAGATGCCTCTCCGATATTTATCGATGATCGATCGATATTAAGTTAACGATTATCGATGTCTGTGATTTATATCAATAGCCAGCTCTAGTTCAGGCTACGGAAAGAAGTCAAGTACATACTGAAGAACGAGATCATGGGACTTAGTGACAGTGAGGAGAGTTCATAGGTGGTCGAGAAAAGGGTAGCTATGGGTTGTGAAGGAGTATTGGAATATAGGCAGTGACAATTTATGTAGAGGGATCGAGATAAGTGTACTGATGGGTTATGTAGAATTGTTTCGATATTGGTTTCGTGGAAGGGATATCAAGGTAAAAGTTGTGTGTGTTCTGTTGCAGGGATTTGAGACAAAAGTCGAGATTAGGGCAATGACGATGACGGGGATGCCGAGCTAAAGATTTTGATAAATTATGTAGGTGGAGGCTGAGATTATGGTAGGCTGAAATGATTTTAGATTGTTTTTTAGCCTTGGCTCAGATTACTATCGTACTGTGTTATGCTCAGTGCTCAGTGTTTAGGTCCCTTCGCAGCGATAAGGCTTCACGGGGCCCAGTGGAAGTCTAGATGATGGAATGTGTGGCATGTCTGAGACATATTCTCTGTAATTGCATTCACCATTAACTACCAAATATCTGACTGAAACTACTTCAACTTGTTTTTCTTTCATTTAATTATACATTCATTTGGGAAATTACTTCAAATGAGACAATTCAAGGGGAAAACAACTATTGCGATAGTCTACTGCAACGTACTATTGCGATAGCGATAGTCTATTGCTACCAACTATTGCCATTCTATTGCAATAGTTTTTTCTCCTTGAATTGTCTCATTTGAAGTAATTTCCCAAATGAATGTATAATTGAATGAAAGAAAAACAAGTTGAAGTAGTTTCAGTCTTTCAATAACCGTCAAGAAACTTGAAACCCAAATCAAGTAAACAACAACTAAATGAAGAAGCAATTCTGCACCCAAACATCCTGTATTTTGCGCTGCGCATTTATCAACGGAAGTCAGTTACTAAACTATCGACCCGTGAAGATCCGGGGTAGAATAGGACTTCAGCAACTCATGCTTGCTACAAAAGGCGACTATGCTTGTCGTAAGAGGCGACTAGCGGGATCGGGTGGTCAGGCTCGCTGACTTGGTTGACACATGTCATCGATTCCCACTTGCACAGGTCGATGCTCATGTTGTTGATCCCTGGATTATCTGGGTGCCGTTCCACTAACCGATCTTATCTAAGATCAATCTTAGCAAGTTACGCCAATTTTACAATCGTCTTAGCTAAAAGTTACACCCGTTCCACTTACCGATTTTAGGCCGATTGTAGCCGGTCCCGATCTTACGATCCGATCCAAGCTTAGATCGAGACTCTTTCGTGCGAGAGATAGAGGAATGCGAGGCACGAGTTATCTCCCTTTGCATAGTCTAGCAAATGATAGAAAGTAGTTTACGAACCAACTGAGTGAGTGAGTGAGTTTAGATTTACGCCGCACTCAGCAATAGTCCAGCTATATGGCGGTGGTCTGTAAATAATCTAGCTAAGATGCATAGCCTTCACTAACATGAGCGTTCATGTTAGTGAACGGTATGTATCTTAGCTATAAATAATCGAGTCTGGACCAGACAATCCAGCGATCAACAGCATGCGCATCGATCTGGGCAGTTGGGAACTGATGACATGTGTCAACCAAGTCAGCGAGGCTGACCACCCGATCCCGTTAGTGGCCTCTTACGACAGGCATGGGTTGTTGAAGTTCAATATTCTAACACGGTCCTTCATGGGTATTTTTCCAACCAAGTGTAAACGTGGAGAAAAAACCTAGAGCAAAATATTAGGGTAGTGAGCACCTTGGTTTCAGGTGCAAGTGTGTGAGAAACGCTGGGTATCAAGCATAATATAATAATAATAAATGCATATTTATAGTGCGCCTATTCCACATCCTTGGGCATGCTCAAAGCGCTGTGTACAGATAGATTTACACGAGAATATTTACAGCCGAGATTATAAGTAATATACTGAGAACAGGTTTTAAGTCTGGACTTTAAAAATGTCAATTGTGTCAGAGCTTTTAATATGTGCCTGAACCTTGTCAATCAGAATAAACAAGGCGTGACGAGGCTATAACGTATGTAGAATCTGCCAGTGGTCTTGAATAACACGCGGCCTGTCTTTAGAATCCCCCGCCAAATAAGCGCACGTGAAATCAAACATATTTGTATCTTTTTGCTTCAGAACATTGATCACTTCATGACCCGTCCCTATTCTTAACCATGACGTTGCAATATTGTTGTACAAATGTGTTACATTATCTCGCTCGGTTGTGTTCCCATGACGACACTGGTCAGACTGGCCTGACATTTGTAAGGCTTCAGTGCAGTGTTTGTTTACAGTGTGTGAGAACGCTGGGTATCAAGCATAATATAATAATAATAAATGCATATTTATAGTGCGCCTATTCCACATCCTTGGGCATGCTCAAAGCGCTGTGTACAGATAGATTTACACGAGAATATTTACAGCCGAGATTATAAGTAATATACTGAGAACAGGTTTTAAGTCTGGACTTTAAAAATGTCAATTGTGTCAGAGCTTTTAATATGTGCCTGAACCTTGTCAATCAGAATAAACAAGGCGTGACGAGGCTATAACGTATGTAGAATCTGCCAGTGGTCTTGAATAACACGCGGCCTGTCTTTAGAATCCCCCGCCAAATAAGCGCACGTGAAATCAAACATATTTGTATCTTTTTGCTTCAGAACATTGATCACTTCATGACCCGTCCCTATTCTTAACCATGACGTTGCAATATTGTTGTACAAATGTGTTACATTATCTCGCTCGGTTGTGTTCCCATGACGACACTGGTCAGACTGGCCTGACATTTGTAAGGCTTCAGTGCAGTGTTTGTTTACAGTGTGTGAGAACGCTGGGTATCAAGCATAATATAATAATAATAAATGCATATTTATAGTGCGCCTATTCCACATCCTTGGGCATGCTCAAAGCGCTGTGTACAGATAGATTTACACGAGAATATTTACAGCCGAGATTATAAGTAATATACTGAGAACAGGTTTTAAGTCTGGACTTTAAAAATGTCAATTGTGTCAGAGCTTTTAATATGTGCCTGAACCTTGTCAATCAGAATAAACAAGGCGTGACGAGGCTATAACGTATGTAGAATCTGCCAGTGGTCTTGAATAACACGCGGCCTGTCTTTAGAATCCCCCGCCAAATAAGCGCACGTGAAATCAAACATATTTGTATCTTTTTGCTTCAGAACATTGATCACTTCATGACCCGTCCCTATTCTTAACCATGACGTTGCAATATTGTTGTATAAATGAAATGTGTACATTATCTCGCTCGGTTGTGTTCCCATGACGACACTGGTCAGACTGGCCTGACATTTGTAAGGCTTCAGTGCAGTGTTTGTTTACATCACAGAAATATACAAATTCATTTCATGGGGGATTTTAGGGGACGCTCACGGTGAAATGCTCGCTCTTATTTTTCACATAGAATAGGAAAGCCACCATTTTGGTTTCTCTACGATTGATTTTAGCTATCCTAAGTTGGTCATGAGCAACTTAGACTTTGAATCTTAACTTTACGATTGACTTAGGTAAGATTGGTTAGTGGAACGGTATGCCGATCGTAACGTCACGCTAAGATTGGGACTTTAGGGGTTTACGATTGGCATAGGGCTAAGATCGGTTAGTGGAACGGCACCCTGGTCCAGACTCGATTATTTACAGACCGCCGCCATATAGTTGGAATATTGCTGAGTGCGGCGTAAAACTAAACTCACTCACTCACTAAACTATCGATAGTCACCTAGCTATGGATTCATCGATAGGTTTTCTTTTCTACCTTCGATTAATTGGTATCAGAGACTCATCAATTGCAATCCATGGATAGTTCGATGCATCGTTACAGCCCTACAAACATCACAACCTCAGTCAACTTGAACTTGCAGGCGAAAAGTGTTGTGTTTGAATTTGGATAGGACAGGGCTGGGCTGCCAACTGGGCTGGATCTTGTTACCCTGTTGTCCCTCATATCAGGAGCTTCTGAGCTTCACATGTTGTTCAAATGTTGTTCAAATGTTGGTTGGTCATCGGTGTACTACAGATTGTGTATGTGGTGGGATCAACACATAGATTCTACTTTCATTTTCACTTCACACTTGCAGCCGGTATATCCTAGATATGCAGACCTTTTGTGTGTGCCTTTGACAGTTCACAACAGCACCCCATAAGTGGGCTATCGGCGGAGGTTTCGTTTTAAGTTCTAGGAAATTCCCGTATCTAAGAAACAGCTATTGGGAAACCCCAGGTGAGCAGGAAGTAAAGTATCTGCGTTGCGTTGTGCGCGCCATTGAGGGATATCAGCCTGCGAGGGCAGACAGAAACACAGGAACAGCTCTGAAGTCATTTGCAGCTCTTGCTGTCGTGATCTACGTACAGATCATAAAGGTATTTCTCAATGATTGCTTTCAGCCATGAAATGTTGAAAGGTGAATTGTTTCTTTCTTTACATCAGTGGCTTAAAATGTATATATGTTTGACTATATTTTCGGAGAACAGTGCACCATTTATCATGACTTTTTCAGTAACAGCTAGACATGAACTATCGGGTGTTCAATGATGTTCCTGCTTCGTAGCCTGAGTTATCAGATTGTTTTGTATTACAAGAGTAAGAGCGACCTTCACGCGTGGTGAATATTCAGTGCTCTAGATATGAAATAATACTTATGTATAGCGGCGAATATCCACCTTAAGGATGCTCAGTGGTGCTGGGGACACATTATGTACAAAACGCAAACATTAATCTTCAAAATCTTAAATACGTATGAAGGACACAGGTTCATATACATATTAATATACATATTCCAAACAGGTATGAAGTTGTGAACGAAAAGAGAAAACAATTACTTAAGTTTTTCAGCATTTTTCTGTCTACCTGCGTAGATTATCTTACACCCCCAGTGAAAAATATCAGTAACATATATATGCATAGCTGTACTGTAATGTTTTAGAATTTTAATACCTATTTCTATATTTCTAACTTTTCTCTTATTTTGTATGCATAAAAGATAAAACGAGCTTGATTGTTTATGTAGTTTTGTTTTGTTTAAGGATATTGCTAAACCATATCATATTAACTTGCAAATTCTTAGGCAAAAATCTATCTCGAATTTCTTTATAAGCTGGGCTATTCAATAAAACGTGATATTCATCTTCTCAATCTACTTCACATACAGGACAATTTCTTTGCAAAACATCAATATTTTGCCACCTTCATACGTTATTCATTAAACGTAAGTCACCAGCTCTGAATTTGACCAATACTTACGGAATTTATACTCCAAGTTTGAAGACAGATACCCCTCTGGCTTAAAAAGACTGTTATATTTTGTATATAACTTACAACGTGAACTGTTTTCAAGAGTAGATGTCCAATTTTGGTAAAACATGTTGATCAAGCGTTCTTTAAAAACTAAAAAACCCATTATTACCCCAGTTAACCCAAGCTGCATGACCCAGATAACAGTCATGGGACCATCGTATTCCAGTTAGTACCCATTCGCTGTTGGGTGAACAGACACAGCTGTCTGAAGTGAGACGTGTCACATGTGGTTGGGTGGTTGTTTAACGCTGCACTCAGCAGTATTCCAGCTATATGACGGCGGTCTGTAAATAATTGAGGCTAGACCAGACAATCCAGTGATCAACAACATGAGCGTCGATCTACACAATTGGGATACTAATGACATGTGTCAGCCAAGCCAGCGAGCCTGACTACCCGATCCCGTTAGTCGCCTCTTACGACACACTTCGTGCTTCGTTATAACAAAACCTCTATGGCGTCAAACTGCCAAACACGGTCTCTCAAGTAAGGACTTTCTGTGAACGCCGTTGCTACACTTGAAGTGATCCATGACCTTTCTCCATGCACAAGACCACACACACCGCGTTAGCCCACTCACCGTCACGTTAACGCTTTGCAAGTTAACAACAAACAATTCCATTAAAAGTAAAAGGGAGCACCAGTAAGATGGAATAGGAGTGAGTGGGTGAGTTTAGTTTTACGCCGCACTCAGCAATATTTCAGCTATATGGCGGCGGTCTGAAAATAATCGAGTCTGGACCAGACAATCCAGGTATCAACAGCATGAACATCGATCTACACAATTGGGATACGATGACATGTGTCAACCAAGTCAGAGAGCCTGACCACCCGATCCCGTTAGTCGCCTAGCTCTTACGACAAGCATGTGTTACCGAAGATCAGTTCTAACCCGGATCTTTATGGGTCAGATGGAAGAGGGCCTAACCTGAAGCCAATCTTCACTTAAAGCTCGAGTATAATTACAAGACCTTTCTAAAAAATACGTACATGGTATGATTTTGGTTAAAAACGGCAAACTTTGCTCAAAGTTTGCATATTGTTTGCATAAATAAGTGGCCTCATATGTTTGTTTAAATATATTGCATTCATGTCATTCCATAACTTGTATATATACCAATGAAAGTACTTAATGTTGCTTCATCCGTTTCAATAAATAACACTTGTAGATACGTTTTTATCCTACGTGCAGAAATCCGGTCTCCGAGGACAGTCCCGCGTAAGAGTAGCCAGCCTCAGCGAGATATTCAACTGTAGGCGTAATCGTTTGGGGAACGCCTTATGTTCTGTTCCGATTACAGTAATGGACAATAGACACTGTGAGACAGTCTAATTGACAGTCCTGGCGTCCGGAATTAAGTTGTGATTTTGATATTGTTTCCTGGTATTTGGAGGAGTATGTGAATGATACGCGACAGACAACATAGCGTGATTGCTGCACTAGGATATAAACTGAAGACGGTAACTGGGTCACTATGACATGATCATTCACTGAACGTTATTCACTATCTATTAAATTGGGTCGAAATATAAGAAGCATGCTTACCGTAAAACGATATTGCCTAATGTCTTCTGTTGTTGAAAAATTTCCCACAGAGGGTAACGCTCTGTGGTAAATTTTTCATCAACAGAAGACTGCGTTAGGACAACTGCGATATGTTACTGAAGTAAATAATAAAGAAGGCAACTTGGAAAGGCATTACCTTAGAGGTGATAAATACACAGTGAAAATTAAAGTAAAATCAAATTTCAACTTATTTTTCAACAATAAAAAATGCGTAATGTCTTAATTGTCTAATCGTTGATTTGTTTCTCCGGGACATGTTTGCTTTTTGTTTTCGTTGCAAAACGTTTCTATTATTGAAAAATAAGTTGAAATTTGATTTTACTTGAATTCAAACAAACCAGTAAACAACCAACCAACCAACCAAACAAACAAACAAACAAAAAAGAAGTTTTTTTGCGTAGACGTACTTCTAAATTACAACCGTGTACAGTGGACTCCCTCTAAACCCACTTCGCACGGGACCGGTGAAAAATGTCGGTTTAGATGGATGTGGGTTTAGAGGAATTTTTTAGAAACTCATAACAAACACTTAACATGTGATTTCACCATATGATATTAGATAGGGACACATTCGGGAGTCAATAAATATGTCGGTTTACAGGGAATGTCGAATAAGACGGATATCGGTTTAGAGGGAGTTCACTGTATGAATTTTTTACTGTCTATATACAATGAAACCTATTTATCATCTTTGAATGTTCGGAAAGATAGAATCACGCTTACAAAATGTCGTTGCTCATCCCATGATTTGTTAATTAAAACAGGGAGATATACTGGAATAAACAAAGAAGATAGAATAATAATGTAAAATATGTGATTTGAATCTAAATGAAGATGGATATCATTTGCTTTGTGTCTGTCCAGCCTACAACACTTTGAGAAATAAGTATATTAAGAAATATTACCTTGTACATCATAATATTTATAAATTTATATCTCTATTAAGCTATTCTTGGAAGGAACACCTAGAAAATTTGTTTCTGTATCATGCCTTTCTACACAGAATAAATGTACTCTCTACTGCCTAATAATAATAGTGTCTGTATACATGTACTCTAAACCTGTTTGATCACTGGATTGTCTGGTCCAGACTCGATTATTTGCAGACCGCCGCCATATAGCTGGAATATTGCTGAGTGCGGCGTCAAACTAAACTCACTCACTACTATAAGCCTGTGACTTCTTAAGTGCAAATAAAGATTGATTGAATGGCATTTTTAACTGCTGGTCACCTAAATGTGTATTCTTGATGCGGTCAATACATTCACTTAACAAAAAGCTGCTGTTAGATAAAGGTATTCCGATATCTTCTGCAAAAAATACAAAAGAAAAATAACGTGAAACAATACCTACACAATGTTACTAATCACAAAAAGTGGTTGATTCTAAAAATGTTTAAAGGTCACATGCAACGTAAAACACAACTTTGCAGAATCTGATACCTTTTGGTATGGACTTACCGAAACAAATCGTCAACAATGCAAATTCAACTTATAAAGTTGAAAAATAACGCGATGAAAAAAAACGCGCGAAATCGGAGTTCAAACGTTTCACTAATTTTCCCCAGACTTTTCTGGGGAAAACGGGTTTCAACAGCTGGGCTGCGCTCATAGCACGTGCGCAGTGAAATAGGTTCGCGCAGCTTGGAAGTGGGTTGTCAGGTGAATACTCGGTGAAGGCTTTGGTGTGAGCTATTTTTCTAATGTTGTGTTGATATCTCACAGGCGCAAGCTTTTTTATATGTTATGACAGTAAATTAACTGTTTATATAATTTCACCACACGTTCTTCTTACCGAGTCACTTTCTCAGTTCGATACTTAAAAGCAATGTCATTATTTAGCGTTGACAGAATTTCTAACTGTGATATAGATATGTCGTTGTCACAGACAAAACTCAATGTCTTGTTTTATTGACACCTGTGTGTCTGCCTGCCTGTCTGCTAATGACAATATTCAATACACAGCTGCTGTCACTGACCACATGCAATTTGAACTAACACCAATCAGGCTATACACCATAAACAAAATGCATTGATTTATGGCCCGAGTTCGGTCTCTGTCACATTATGTAATTACACAGACAGGCAGGTGTGATAGTTGAACACATGACATGTTTTGATGTCTGTTGATTGCAAAATGTTATACACAAAAAATGAGCATGTATTTACAAAACCCAACATCTCTACATACACACACACAATAAGCCGTGAGGGCATCTGCAAATGAACCAGCCGTTACACTTGAGTGCACACCCACCCGCTCTGATTGGGTTCGGTATCCCGGCTGCTTCGTTTCTTGGGAAGTAAACCGAAGTACACTATATTGCACTTTTGATTTGCGATTGTACGCTTATAATTTTGTTTATATGTTTTTTCATAACCAGCAATGTATATTATATGTCATGAATAAGTGATAATTGTGTTTTAATTATGTTTGATTTTTTGGTTGCATGTGACCTTTAACTTTCACGTTGCTTGCCTGCCGATGAGGCCATGTCTTCTCTTGACCTGAGAAAGATAAACTTTCAACCGCAAGGCCTTAAAAAACTGAACCAAACAATCATGATAGTGATGACATGCACCCAAATAAAGGGATGAAAGCTAGAAAAGTACTGACGAAAATGTTCGGAATGTCGAAAGAAGCCCTATAGACCGAGTTCAACCACAAATATCTGACACAAAATCATCCAATCACAGCTGCCAGATGATTCACTTCAAAAAAGTGTTTGTTAAACTTCGGATTCTAATTTAGGGTAGTATAACTGTGGTCCATAATGTTGTCTAATTCAGTCCAACGGAGTACTATGGCTCTAGCTAAGAGTATATGGTTTATCTGACATCATTCTGGCATTACTTCTAGTTTGGTATAAGATATATTGCACATCTGTAAACAGAAACTAAATTCCTGACAAAATTGATATCTTTTAGGTGGTTTTATTATAACAATTATTATAGTTATGCGGAAAACAGGGGGGTGGGTGGGGTGGGGTTGGGTGTATTGTGACCCTTTACCACTGTATTAACGTGTATCCCCACACCTGAGGTTACTACAGAACCAGAGCACTGAGGTATGGATTAGTGCTGTAATTATTACATGTTTCCCAACTTGGGATACAACAGAGAAACCAGACCAGAGCCAAGATTTTCGAAGCTTTCGTAGCTCTAAGATAGTCGTAAGTGCCATACATTAACATTAACTTACGACTACCTTAGCGCTAAGAGAGCTTCGAAAATCTAGGCCCAGGAACGGATGATGGAACGTTCCTGCAGCTATTGCAAGTAACTATATAAAGGGCGTGAGTGAGTGAATGGGTATATAGTTTTACACCACTTTTAGCAATATGCCAGCAATATAACGGCGAACGACACAGAAATGAGCTTACCACACTGTACCCATTTTGGGAATCGAACCGCATGAACGCTTCCACCACTAGGCTACCCCACCAAGTAGATGAGGTCAGCTGTATGACACTGGATTACCTTCTTTATATATAAAAATGTTGACGTTAAAAATAATACACAATACACAAGTTGGGACTTAAATGTAGAAACCTTTAACTCAGGAATACAATTTACCTTAACCGCTATATATATGGCCCTAAGTTGAGGTTGAAAATAATGTATCATAAAAGAATGCAAAAACGAAGACAACCCATGATTTGTGTATGTGTATGTGTCTTTTCCGCTTGAAGAAATGACCCTATCTTCAAAGGTGCATGTAAGCGCGCACCTATGCCTTAGTGTGTACTTGACAAAATATATTGGTGAATTACATTCAAAAGTTTATGAGAAATATATTTCATCGATAATCTAACGACAAAGTCAAAACTGATAGGGAGATAATCCTTTGTAAACAAATGCACTTGTTTTACCCTGAACGTTACTTTTTATTTGTTGAGTCACCATTTAGGTCAAGAGTATTTTGACCAAACATCAACTCATGGGCTGTGAACATGAATCTCTCTGAAACATCTAATAGTTGTTGTTTGTTTCAAAACTAGATGCTACTCATATCTGCTTGGGCAGTGGTAGTGACAGTGACGTTGTCCACTGCCTGTGCTGCTGACCTTAGTCTGGATGAACGCTGGGCGGAATTTAAGCTGAAGAACAACCGGGAGTACAAGAGAGATGTTGAGGAAGCCAGGTGGGTTTGAGTATTTGTTGTATTTATTGTGGCACCAGCGTGTACCAGCATTCTAGTGTAATAGCGGTACGACTTGAGAGGCTTATGACAACAGTATATGTTTCCACCTTCCCCTTGGTCAATATGAAATGAAAGCGTTCAAGTCCATCAGATGGGATGGATGGATGAATTGAATATAATGGATGGATTAGATTGGAATGGATTGGTGTGGTGTGGAATGGAATGGAAATAAATAAAAATGAATGAAGGGAATGGAAATGAATGAATGAAATGAAAAAAAGAATTGGAATGAATGAATGAATGACTGAAATACATACCACAAAGATAATTTTCCTTTTCAAAAATAGAATGACGTAATAGAGGTGTCAGAGGAATGAATAGTTTCGTTAGAAATCAAAACGCTCGTCAATGAATGGAGTACTCCATTAATACTCTATTTGTTTCTCCACATATTTACATGTATGATTTTTATGCCAATATAAAACTAGGAGTAGAATAATCCTTACACTTGGCTTTGAGAAGCCTAATATTTTCGTACGATTATCGAAAAGCTTTTTGTGACTTGAATGTTTTGAAAGCTGATCTTAAAACATTTTTGGACCTTCTCTGGTAGGCGCACTGTATGGGAGAGAAAGGTGAAGGACATTGACAGGCACAATAGGGAGGCGGACCAAGGACTACAGACCTACTGGATGCAGGAAACACAGTGGGATGACATGGTATATTCCTCCGTTGTCACCCTCCCCCTGTTCTTCAATCGCCCACCTCCTACCTCTGGTCATATCCTATCGTCCACCTCCTCCCTCTGGCCACATGCTATCATTCATCTCCTCTCTCCGGCCTCATCCTATCGTTCACCTCCTCCCTATGGCCTCATCCTATCGTCCACCTCCTCCCTCTGGCCTCGTCCGATAGTTCCCCTCTTCTCCCTGGCCTCATCCTATCGTCCACCTCCCTCCCTCTCTGGCTCTCATCCTATCGTTCCACCTCCTCCCTCTGGTCTCATCCCATCGTTCACTCTCCTCCATCTCATACTCATCCTATCGTTCACCTCCTCCCCCTCTCCGCCTCATCCTATCGTTCATCCTCCTCCCTCTGGCCTCATCCCTATCGTTCACCCTCCTCCTCTGGCCTCTCATCCTATCCTCCACCTCCTCCCTCTGGCCTCATCCTATCTTCCACCTCTCCTCCCTGTGGCCTCATCCCTATCGTCCACCCTCCTCCCTCTGGACTCATCCTATCACCCAGCTCCTCCTCCTCCCATCTGACGTCCACATATCCTCCCATTTTCCTCCTCCATCTGGCCTCATCCTATCCTTCACCTCTCCTCTCTGGCCTCATCCTATCGTTCCACCTCTTGCCATCTGGAGTGGGATGCCATGGTATATTCTTCCGTTTGACCCCCTTCTTTGCTTTTCTTCAATCGCCCACCTCCTACCTCTGTCTGGCCATCCTTTCTCCTCCTCCTCTCTGGCCTCATCCTATCGTCACCCTCTCCTCCATCTTACCCCTCATCCTATGGTCCACCTCACTCCTCTGATCTCATCCTATCACCCACCCCTCCTCCATCCTGGGTTCCTATCGTCCACCTCCCTCCTCTGGCCTCAATCTCTCGTCCACCTCCTTCCATTCCGTTCCACCCTCCCTCGGCCTCATCCATCCTTCCATCCACTGTCCCTCCATCCATCGTCCACTCCCTCCCTCTTTCCCTATCGTTCCACTCCCAGCCTCCATCCTTCCTTCCACCTCTTTCCCTCCATTGGGTGTCCTTCCCTTCTCCTTCATCCTTCCTCCACTGTCCACCTCCTCCATCCATCTTCCACCTCCATTCCACTCCTCCCTCCTTCCTCCTGTTCCTCTCCATTCCATTCCATTCCTTTTCTTTCATCCTTCCATCCACTACCTCCTTCCATTCCATCTTCCTTCTTCTTCCTTCCATTCCATCCATTCCCCTCCTTCATCCCTCCATCTAGGATCCTTTCCTGTCCATTCCTTCCACTGGTCTCCTCCCTATGTTCCATTCAGATGTCCATTCTTCCATTGTCCATCCACCTTCCTCCATCCTCCACTCTCTCCTTTTCCTTCCTTCCTTCCTCCATCCACTCCTTCATTCCCCCTTCTCCTCCATCCCTCCTTCATCCATCCTTCCATCTTCCACTCCTCCCTCCATGTTTATCCTGGGTCCCTCATCTGTCCTTTCCTCCTCCTTCCATCCTTCCATCCTTTTCCTCCTGGGATCTATCTTCCTTTCATCCATTCCTCCATTCCATTCCTCCCCTCTGGGTGGGTCCTTTTCTTCATCCTTCCACCTTCATCCAGCTCCATCCACCTCCACTCCTCCATTTCCTTCTCGTCTCGTTCCATCCTTCCATCGTTTTCTGTGGTTCTGGCCTCCATCCATCCGTTCCTCCCTCCGGGTCGTTCCTGTCCATATTTTGTCTGTGTCCTTGTCCATGTGGCCTTGTCCTGGTCAGCCTCCATGGTCCCTCGTCTGGGTCTGTTCCTCCATCTGTTCATCCTGTCGTTCCTCCTGTCCGTTCTATTTTCGTCCTGGGTGGGATGTCCTCCGTTGTCCCTCCTTTTCTGTCCTTGTCCTTGTGTGTGTCGGGTCCCTCGTTCCTTTGGTCCTTCCATCGTTTGGGACGTTGTCCTTGTGTCTTGTGTTATTTGTGGGTTGGGATTCGTTCGTTGTGTGGCCGCCGTGGTCGGCGTCTGTCTTCCGTTCCGTCGTTCCTGGGTTCTCGTTGTCCTTCCTGTCATGTCTCCATGTGGTCCACGTTGTGGTTGTCCGTGGCTGTCCGTTCGTCGTTGGCGTCGTGTCGTCGGTCCTTGTCCGGCTCGTGTTCGGTTATCTGGTTGTGTGTTCGTTTCGTCCGTCGGCGTGTCGTTGGTCCACCTCGTTCCATCCGTTTTTCCTTCATCCTTTCCTCTGGGTCCTTCTTCCTGGCCTCATCCATTCCTTTTCGTTCCACTCCCTCTGGTCTCCGTTCCTTTCATTCGTCATTCCTCCTCCGTGTCCTTTTCCACTCATCCACCGTCCCTCCATTTTCGTCCCTCCTTCCTTCCGTTTCCTGTCCATTCCTTTCCATCCATCCATCGTCCGTCCTCCACGCCTCATCCTGTCGTCCTTCTTCGTTCCTCCTTCTCCGTTCCTCCGGCTTTCATTCCATCTTTTCCTCCATCCTGGCATCCTGTCTTCCTTCATCCTCGTTCCTGTCATGGGTCGGGTCCTTCTTCCATTCCATTCCTCCAGGATCTTCCTTCCTTCCATTCCCTCCTTCCGTTTCCTCCCTCCTTTCCATCCCTCCATTCCACCCCCAGGTGGAATGTCCTTCCATATTCCTCCATTCCTTCATCCACCTCCCTTCCACCACCCTCCTTCATCCTGGCGCAAATGCTTATCCTCTTCCCTCCTCCCTCTGGCCTCATCCTATCGTCCACCTCCTCCCTCTGGCCTCATCCTATCACCCACCTCCTCCATCTGCATCCCTATCTTCCAACTCCTCCCTCTGGCCTCATCCTATCGTTCACCTCCTCCCTCTGGAGTGGGATGACATGGTATATTCTTCCGTTGTCCCCCTTCTCCTTTTCTTCAATCGCCCACCTCCTACCTCTGGCCACATCCTATCACCCACCTCCTTCGTCTGGCCTCATCTTATCACTCTGCTCCTCCATGTGGCCTTATCCTATGGTCCATCTCCCCCCTCTTGCCTCATCTTATCACCCACCTCCTCCATCTGGGATCCTATCTTCCAACTCCTCCCTCTGGCCTCATCCTATCGTTCACCTCCTCCCTCTGGAGTGGGATGACATGGTATATTCTTCCGTTGTCCCCCTTCTCCTTTTCTTCAATCGCCCACCTCCTACCTCTGGCCACATCCTACCACCCACCTCCTTCATCTGGCCTCATCTTATCACTCTCCTCCTCCATCTGGCCTCATCCTATCGTCCACCTCCTCCCTCTGGCCTCATCCTATGGTCCACCTCCTCCCTCTGGCCTCATCCTATCGTCCACCTCCCCCCTCTTGCCTCATTCATCGTTCACCTCCTCCCTCTGGCCTCATCCTATCGTCCACCTCCTCCCTCTGGCCTCATCCTATCGTCCACCTCCTCCCTCTGGCCTCATCCTATCGTTCATCTCCTCCCTCTGGTCTTATCCTATCGTCCACCTCCTCCCTCTGGCCTCATCCTATCGTCCACCTCCTCCCTCTCGCCTCATCCTATCGTCCACCTCCTCCCTCTCACCTCATCCTATCGTTCATCTCCTCCTTCTGGCTTCATCTTAGCTTTCCCCTCTTCTATCTGACCTAATCCTATCTTTCCCCTCCTACCCCTGGTCTCACCGCAACGTTCTCTTCCCCCTCTGGCCTCATACTATCTTACCCTCCTGCTTTCCTCCTATCGTTTACATTCTCACTCTTTCCATATCCTGTCTGTCTCTCCTCCCTTTATCTTTCCTCTTCTCCTCCCTCATTCCTCCTTTCTTTCACCTCATGTTTCCGTTTCTCAACCCTTTATTCCCATTTTCTATCTGATCACCCGATCTGTTAGTCGCCCCTTACGACAAACATGGGTTGCTGAATACCAAATCTTACCTTTTCTGTTACTACAGACGTACGACGAATATATTGCATACCATCACGGCGAAGACATCAACGTCAACAGCATGTATAGAGTCAAGAGAGCGGTATGTATAACTTATCGACCATCAACTATCGCAATTAAAGTATGAAAGGCTATAAGAAGAAATAACGACCAACCTTCATTACACATTACACAAATACTGATGAAGTGGTCAACTACTATATATGCATTTAGACAATGTTTGTTTTATTATCAATAAATATCACGCCCAAATTACACAGGCCGTTTTGAAAAATCTGATGGCAATAAAATTAGTCAATCAACATAAATCCTTCTTTCATTTTGTCAACCAACAGAACAGAAACGGCACAGGAGATTGCTTCGAAGAAGAAATATGGGCATCCTCGGCAAACCCTTACGCCTACAACACCGTGGACGGTTTACCAAAGAATGTCGACTGGTCCAAGAAGGGCTATGTGACGAGTGTAAAGAACCAGGTAATATGACCCATAAAGAAGGAACGATATTACCGAAGTTGGCAAAGGTGCATAATGCAGATTCGTAATGATGCTTGGTCAGTTGAGGCAATATGATGTCACAGCACTTCATTGTGAGGCAAGTGCTTTTTGCATGACACCACCAGTGTATGAAATAACGCAGTTTAACAGTCAACCATATTCATGACTCCAATATTTGCATGCCGTTTACACACATGACAGGGTAATCGTTGGCTTAGGAGTCGTAGGTACCGCAAATCACTATGCAGAGCTGCATCCCTTGGATACGTCTGAACCCTGTAATTGTGGGTTCGAATTCAAGTTCGAACTAATCATGTTTCAAGCTTTGTTAGTAACAAAGATTACCCGCGGTTACCCAAATTGGTAAATGACCTCCTTGATCCTAAGTCGGTATCAAACAAGATACGTCTTTACATAAATTCGATTTCCGCTGAGCAGGCAAGGTGTGGGTCGTGTTGGGCATTTGCTGCAGTTGGAGCGTTGGAGGGTCAGCAGTACAAGAAGAACAAGAGGTCTGTCAATCTCTCCCCACAGGACCTTGTCGACTGCTCCTCAGGTCAAGGTAAGTTCTTACTGGTCATCAAGCATTCCGAGAATTCATTCAAGAATCAAGATACAAAATTCAAGAATCTGTATTCAGTATACAAGGCCTCCAACCCAGAGTACTTGTGTAGATACATCTAGACAAGTTGATTCCTTATCATAACACAGCATAAGTACAGTACGACAGTTGTATGAATAAATACAAAATACAACCCAATTGTCATCAGCGCATTGGCTTTAAATTAAACATCATACATATTTTTAGATAATTCATTCAATATTATGTGACTCTGTCGAAATTGGTTTTCGGTTCGACCACAACTAATGAATCTGTTGTGTAAATGGGAATTTTCATTGGATTGAAATGACTCGTGGTGACCATCCTTGTGTTGGGATTTTGGATCTGAATTGCTGTCCCCCAAGCCTTGCTTTCGTAACAACCAGCTGAAAGGAACTTGTCAGAATGTGTATCTACACTGACTGCACCATCGATGTGGACATTTCCCACGCTGTAGTGAAAACGCCGACCAGTTGGTCTGGGACAGACTGTTGTCAAGGTGGAACACAACTTGATTATCCAGTCATTAACAATAGTTGTCCAGCGAATACTATCTGCTGTGGATCCACGAAGATCCGTGATAGAATTGGCCTGCAGCAACCCATGCTTGTCGTAAGAGGTGACTAACGGGATCATGTGGTCAGGCAGCTGACTTGTATTGTCTGGGGCCCGATCCACAAAGCGTTCGTAGTCTACGTTAGCCTGAGAGTTTACGATCGAAAATAAGAACTTTTACGACCGATCCACGAAGCGTTCTTAATCCATTCGTAAATTCATTATCTTACAAGCATTGTCGTAAATAAAGATCGTCGCTCTCCTGCTGAGGAGGCGACGAATATAGGGGGGTTTCCCAATGACGTCATTACTTCAAGGGAATCCCTGCACTCGGTTAGCAGACGACACATTCCGTGTCACCAACACGCCAACATGAATTCCAGTCAATCGTCAAGCGATATAGAAACAAGAACTGGACCCACACAGAGTTGAGTTTTCTCGTGGAATTTGTCGAGGCAACAAAAACCTTACTATTTTCGTCATTCACGAACAATGTAACAAACATCATGAAGAAAAAGGCTTTGTGGATCGGGCCCCTGGTCCAGACTCGATTATTTACAGACCGCCGCCATATAGCTGGAATATTGCTGAGTGCGGTGTAAAACTAAACTCACTCACTCATTCAAGTCATAATAAGCATCAAACAAAAACAAACAAGCTATCTACAATAAATGCATACACATGTTGCAGGAAACAAAGGTTGCGATGGCGGGCTACCCATTAAAGCGTTTGCCTATGTCGTTCTAAAAGGCATCGCCACAGATAAATCCTACCCCTACAAAGCAGTTGTAAGTATCAAATTGTATAACCTCACAATTCCTGTGTTCAGTAACATCCCACGGTGACAGTTAGTGGTCAGGACTCATCCACAGTGCCTAACTGTGTGGTATCAAATAATGGCTTCAACTTGACAATGTACATTAGATTTTCAAAACAGTGATGTCTTATAGTTTATTTACTATAACTTGCTGTTGTAATAGTTGGATTGACGATAACTGATATTTCCTTCATAAATATTATATTCCTCTCTGAAATATGCAATTATAACTTAAATGAGTGAGTGAGTTTAGTTTTACACCGCACTCAGCAATATTCCAGCTATATGGTGGCGGTCTGTAAATAATCGAGTCTGGACCAGACAATCCAGTGATCAACAGCATGAGCATCGATCTGCGCCACTTGGAACAGCGAGTCAGCGAGTCAGCGAGTCTGACCACCCGATCTCGTTAGTCACCCCTTACGACAAGCATGGGTTACTGAAGATCAATATTCTAACCCGGATCTTCACAGGTCTATAACTTAAAGGACGACATCGAGCGTTACACAAAGATTGGAACTCAAGTGTAGAAACCTTTGTCACAGTAATTCCATTTACCTTAACCACTATATTATAAGTTGTTCACTGGTCACGAGGGTGTCATAGGTTGATGTACCCTCGATGTTTAGTTATGTTCCCTGAGCCCGAAGGGAAACATAAACAAACATCGAGGGTACATCAGCCCATGGGCCCCGAGGGACCAGTGAACAACGTATTTATCTTACCGAACTCCTCGATATTAATTTTGAATTGTTTGAAGCACGGGTACAAATCTTTTTGTAGCCATCGCTAGATTTTGGTGACAAGAAAAACATATTTAGAGGTATCTCCCTTCCATCGATTTGCATTCGCAAAACATCGGTAATTTCCGTACATCATACCTGATTCAATGTTATTCGAGATAAAGAATTACTACCAAGAAGTACCAAATGAGTTGCCATTGACAGCGGGGTACATTGAAACGTTACTCGCTTGTAAGCGGGGTACATTGAAAATAAAAGAAGAGCGCTCAGCCAATCAGAAAGCGACATTTATGTGTGAGGTAAGATAAATAACAATGTATAATTATATATAGCACTGTATAACTGGCAACATACCGCTAAGTAGATATGTACAGTAATATGTAACCGCTAAGTATAACTGTTCATGCTCTGTTATTTTGAGGCCGGAACATGCAAGTCAAGATCTTCCATCTCGATTGGGCTCAACATCAAAGGCTACAAGACCCTGAGAACGGACGCCAAGCTGAAGAACGCTCTGGCATACATCGGGCCTATATCTGTGGGAATCCAGACAGGGTCCCGGATGCAGTCGTACAAGCGTGGTGTGTTCAACGACTGTAGTGGTGCTGTCAATCATGCTGTTCTGGTTGTGGGGTACACCACGTACAACAACGTCCCTGTTTGGAAAGTGAAGAACAGGTACGCATCATATCTTCTTGACTGTCTGAACGACAAACTGTAGACGTGAGTGAGTGAGTGAGTTTAGTTTTACGCCGCACCCAGCAATCGTACAGCTATTTGTCGGCCATCTGTAAGTAATCGGATCTGGACCAGACAATCCAGTGATCAACAGCATGAGCATCGATCTACACAATTGGGATACGATGACATGTGTCAACCAAGTCAGCGAGACTGACCACCCGATCCCGTTAGTCGCCTCTTACGACAAGCATGGGTTACTGAAGATCAATTCTAACCCGGATCTTCACGTGTCGATAAGCCATAGAGTCTGATCACCCGGAGGGGATAGGTTGCTGGAGCTTAGATTACTGGGCAACTGGCTAACACTGCACAATGTGCTTTGAAAACGATAGTGAACTCTGAAAACTGATTCCATAGTACATTCTATAATGGATCCGGCATTCCGGAAGTATGACTCGCATAGCTGTTCACTATTTCCTGAACGAGTAGACAGCTCAACATCCAAGGCCAGCTCCGATTTGCTAGTTCCGATTTGACAATACTAAATAAGCATTCAGGAAAACAGCTATCAACAAATACACAAATATAGTGACCTGTGTATCATATGATGGTGTTCGTAAACCGCGCATCTCTTAAACACGGTACCTAAACAGTTCACATTTTCCTGAATGACTTATTGAGGCATAGTCACATAACTAATTTATAGCGAAAACTTTTAAACTGTCTCATCTTCGTTCCTGCTAGACACTCATTAACGTACCTTAGAGTACCTGCGATCCCGGGAATTTGTCCATATTCCAGATGGTGGGCGAGCTGGCTAAAGCGCCAGGCTGGGGATCCAGCGAGCTTGAAGTGTCGGGGTCGAGCCCACCTGTGACCGGGTGTAAAAACCTTGGAGTCAACTTTGCGTGCAGACTCTTTCAGTGTTGTCACAACCCCTAGTGTACAGTACACAACCCTGTGCACTTAAAAGAACCCACGAATCTGTTGGTATATGACCAGATGGTGGCCACATGAATACGTGCAAACACCTAGTTGCGGGTACAGTGAACTTGGACCAAGTACTGTGACTATGTGTCCCAGTCCATCCAGCTGGGAATGGGTACCTCGTAAGGATGAGAAAGCGCATTAACTCGGTGCGCCTAGTAGCTGCAAGAGTTGTATGCTCCCCGCGAAGTTGAGATTGATAATACGATGTACCGTTGAGATTGACATCCAATGGTCGAGGGAAAAATACCAGCGCGTGGATATGTGCTAGTACTAGCTGCGTGGATATGCGCGCTATATAAATATCCTATAATAATGATAATTATGACTTGTCGTCGAGAAACTGGAAAGGTGTCCTCATTAATGTTTCTTTCTGTTCATAGTTCCACGTGCACCGATATATTCATTTACAGGTACTCTACTATTTCCGCAATCAATTGGGGCAGTGTGGTAGCCTAGTGGTTAAAGCGTTCGCTCGTCACGCCGAAACCCCGGGTTCGATTCCCCACATCGGTATAATGTGTGAAGCCCATTTCTGCTATCCCCCGCCGTGATATTGCTGGAATAAAGCGGCGTAAAAATCACTCACTCACTTCGCGGTCAATGCCATAGCGTGATTATAAACAACACCTGTAAAAACAGCCATGAAGATGACTCGCGACAAGGAAAACAACATTTATTGACGAACTATGCATTAGACATATAAACATATTTATAGCTTAATTAACATTTGATGGTCGATTAATGCCGTTAAATCAGTTTACATTCATTGGTCTGGGAGAAGTCGACAGTGGTATAAAAAAAGTAATGTCAGCAGGTTATTTCTTTTTGATACACGTGTTCCATATGTTTATCTTCCTTAGTGTTATTTATCACTATTCAAGACACACAACGCTTCTTTTACTTAATGACCGCCTCCGTGGTGTAGTGGTTAGAGCGTCCGCCCGGAGAGCGGAAGGTCGCGGGTTCGATCCCCGACCGCGTCATACCAAAAGACGTTAAAATATGGTACTTGTGGGTCCCTGCTTGGCACTCGGCATTAATGGGTACATCTTGGACTGGTCGGCTCGGAGTCGGTATAATGTGTCTGAGTGGGGTATTCATGCTTCACTGCGTCATGGTATCTCAGTGGGCTAGCACTATAAAACCAGCTTCAGTCTGGGCTAGTACAAGCAGCCGCACATACACATACACACGCATGCACGTCGTCATATGAGCGAAATATTCTCAAGCACGACGTTAAACCCAATTTCACCTCACCTCACCTTTTACTGAATTCTCAAGAAATGTAATGTTTAATAGCATAAATGAAAATTTGAACAATTATCCCGAGATCTCATTATTGTTAAATAGGAGCATCCATCTCAACAAAAGCGAACAAGTGAAGTCCATGAACATATTTATCAGACTGAAAGATTTAAAGGAATATAAAACCCCATTCCTGCTGCATATCTCCTTTTAGTCTGTTTGTATATTCTCTGTCTTTTCTACTTATTTCACTTGTGATAATTAATATTTATATAAACCATACTAGTATTGTTTGAAAGAAGGCTTCTCAAGTTGTGAAAAGGTGCGCAACCCTTTCCTTGTAATATGTTTTAATAAAAAGATTCAAACGTTCAGATCACTGGGGCTGTGGGGTAACCTAGTGGTCAAAGCGTTCGCTCGTCACGTCGAAGACCCGGGTTCGATTACCCACATGGGTACAGTGTGAGGCCCATTTTCGGTTATGTTGCTGGAATATTGCTAAAAGCAGCGTTATTACCACTCGCGGCACATTACGCTAATAACCGTCGCCATATAGCTGGAATATTGCTGAATGCTGCGTGAAACTAAACTCACTAACTCTCTCAATCATCCTGTTTCAGTTGGGGACCGAGCTGGGGAGAAGACGGTTATTTCTACCTGCCAAGAAACAAGGAGAATGCGTGCATGATCTCAAGCTTTGCATCCTACCCAACTCTGACGGAGGTAGTAAGGGGACCATTGCACGCTGGTGAAGTTGCTGCTGCAGTCGATGGTGCTGGCGTCGTTGCATCTACCACCGCAATGTTCATACTGCTGCTCCTGCCAACTATGTTACTTTAATACTTTATCAGTGTCCACCAAACAAACCAGTCGCTTTGATAACTCTTTGTCCATTAACCTTTTCAAACATTCCTTCTTTTTCTGTAGGTTTTCAAAACTTCATAGTAATATGTTTTGCTGCATAATAAAGACATATTTGCATTAATTTTGTTTGTGATTTTTTAAAGATTCAGACATTGATTACATTCATGGTTATGTTAATCTCTATACTGAGGTGCAAAAGAAAGTACACATCCATGTTTGGAAGTGGCTAAAGATAGAAACGTCCAAGGACTGGTTATTACATGTTAATGTATTTGATGCGGGCACCATCGTTGTACTTTGGACCTTTTAGTTGTAGTGTTTCGTGCTCAAACATTTTGATAACGTTTGCAATTTTTTGAGCAAATGGTTTTGGTCAATTTGGTTGATGCTTGTCATCCCAGCTATCCCAGTTGCGTAAATCGATGATTATGATGTTGATCACTGGATTGTTTGGTCCAATTTTTTCACAGACCGTCGTCATATAGCTTACATATTGTTGTTAAACAACAAACTGTACTGACTGAATGCGTATCACTGTAACCAAACAGGGTGGCACTCAGCACATAATAGAAGTCACTGGATTGTCTGGTCCAGAGTAGGTAATTTAGTCATGAAGCTAGATTATTGCTTAATGGGACTTTATTGACACCGGGTTTTATACACCAATGTTGTCAATCATTTGCTGAGTAACGCCGTGAAGATCCAGATTCAATGGCTGTCGAAAGAGGCAACTTGGGTGCTTGGGTGTTCGGGATTGATGACTTGGTTGAAACAAGTCCTCGGATCCGTGGATGTTTCATAGTCACTGAACTGACACGATTAGTCATATCGCTGACATTGCTGAGTGGCCTATATCATCAACAAACAAAACTTAAGAAATACGTTATCGAATATTATTAAATAGCAGATACGTCGCCGTTAATTGTAACATTATATAACGACAACCCTCCTCATGACGTGAGATGTCGTCTACACAAGGGGTAGGATTCCATCCGAGGCCACCCCGCACATGTTGTCATGGTTACGCGCCATGAGCATGTATCCGTCTTCGCCCCACGTGGTGCTCCAACTGGAAGATATATGTTGATCTGGTCACATTATAGTGCTAAAAGAACTGGAGCATATAGTGAGTGAAAGGTACCGTTGATATTATAGAAGCTATCACGGCTTGTCAGTTTAATATGATAAAAAGGTCGTTGAGGGTCAACGCACTAAGGGACCGTTCATAATTTATGGCTGGGAGGGGATGGGGGTGTTTGGTGGGGTGGTGGGTGTGTGGGGTGTGAGGATGATTTTTTATGGAGAAGCATGTACAATGTGAATGACACCCCCGAAGATTTATGTCAAAAATAAGTGACCCCCTGCATGTCATGTACAAAATCAATGATCCCCCCTTCCCATAATTTCTAAGCATGATTTTAAGCATATTTTTATGTACAAAATTGCTCCCCACCCACACACACACACACACCGCGCGCTCCCCAGAACAAAATGGGTGCCCCCAAAGATCATCAAACCACACACACACTCACACCCAGGCATAAATTATGAACGGTCCCTTACAATTCGAAAAGAGCCCCGAGAGAATGGAGTGAGTGAGTATGGTTTGACGCCGCTTTTAGCAATATGACGAGTGGACGCTTTAATCACGAGACTACCCCAACCGCTCCCGAGGGAATGGATTAGAAGTTAAAGACAAAATATCAGAATAAGGACACCTCGTTTTTAAAAAAAATGGAAACAATGACAGTTTGGAGAAAGAGTATTCAAATCTAAGTCTTCAGTCCAACATCTTTGTGTCGAAGTTGAAGGAACCGACGTAAATATACTCTCCCAAAAAAGAAACGCATCATGAAAATAGCAATTTCATGTAGCAATGAATTAAAACGTGATTCATTTTACAAAAGGTTTTGCTCTGTTTATGAGTCCTATGGTGGTTATGTTTTGAAACATCACAACAAAACGCACCATCCCTAAAATACCCGTATTTAACAGCATGATTTTCAATTTCGGCGTGTAGTGTCACAGAATACACAATTCACATGCAATGCACGTGAAAGTTGGGGATCAGATAGTCTCAATGATGGGTATAAAAGGTTGATCGCTGTCTGTTGATTATTCACTGTATTTGGAATATTGTTGACGAACGCAAAATGCCACGTCTAAGTGAAGCCAACCGTCATATCGCCATTGGTTTGCTTGAAGCTGGCCAGTCTCAACGTGCAGTTGCCCGACGCATGAATGTTCACCAAAGCACCATTTCACGGCTTTGGGAGAGATATTGCCTGCAGAATTCGGTAGCTGATGCCCCTCGTAGTGGGCGACCTCGAGCGACCACTGCGGCGCAGGATCGCTACATCCGGGTACATCAACTGCGTCAACAGCTACGGCGACCAGTACCGCTCGACAAATACCCGGATTGAGGAGGCTTTCTGTACAGACCGTCAGGAACAGGTTGAGAGAGGCTGGTTTACGTGCCAGAAGACCTTATTTTGGCCATGTGCTTCGACAACAACATCGTCGACATCGAGTTCAATGGTGCACCAACGTTCAGGCCTGGAACCTACCGAATTGGCGTAGAATCTGGTTCAGTGATGAATCACGATTTCTATTGGAACGACGCGATGGAAGAATGCGGGTGTACAGACGTCGACGTGAACGTTTCGCCGACGCTTGCGTTCCCCAGGTGGACAGATTCGGCCGGGGAGGTGTTATGATGTAGGGGGAGATCACCTGCCGTAGGAGAAGTGATTTGGTGATGATCCAGGGCAAACTGACAGCTCAACGGTACTGTGACGAAATCCTACACCCACACCACCTTCCAATCATTGATCGCCAGAGGGAGTTGTTTCAACAGGACAATGCCAGGCCCCACACAGCACGTCACACTAGAGACTTCCTCCAGAACCACAACATCAATGTGCTCCCCTGGCCCTCAAGATCACCGGACTTAAACCCGATCGAACATCTGTGGGATGCCCTGGACAGACGGGTGCGACGCCGTAACCCTCAGCCCCAGACACTTCAGCAACTCGCACAGGCACTACAGGCAGAGTGGGCTGCGATTGGGCAACACGAGATTCTGAGACTTATTCGTTCGATGCCGAGGCGATGTCGGGCAGTTCTGGATGCCCACGGTGGTCACACGAGGTATTGACTTCAGCGCCAAAACACGTCTCCATGTCACACTCAAACTGACTTTCCTCGAGTTGGTGCCAAAGACGGATAGGTCTGCATTCCCAGTGTGTAATTTCGCTATATTTCATTGACTCATAAAGCCTACAAGATGTTTCAAAATACACATAAAAACACAGCTGAAATTCCTATATGCGTTTCTTTTTTAGGAAAGTATACTTATCTGAGGTTCGACACAACCTTAAAATTAGGCTCAGTATTATTCGTTACACTGCTATACTGAGTCTAACAAAACCTTGTGGAAGGTCGCGTCAGGTAACCTTTGAGCGACCTATGACCGTCCAATCAAACGCGAGACGACAGAACGGATTTAACCAATCAGACAACGGCTACTATTTAGGGTTCGGCGGGACTTACAAAATGGATTTACTCTTCCCCGGTCGCCAACACTGATCTCACAACAAATGAAAACCCGCATAAAACACAGATATATGACCTGCAGAATATACGCTTTTGGGTTTCTGTTGACATGGTTATCATTAGCTAATATTTCCGCAAGCTGACATCCTTGAATACTGACAAAACGCTATTTTCAGCGACTGTTTACTCACGGTTGTGGCGTGCTCCATGTGCATCACTCGGAAGCGATCGTACGGAAAATAGCATTCGGAATCGTTCGGGTACAAAACTTTTCGAGGTAAAAGTTCAAAAGGTATGTGCGAATGTCAACTTTCGCGATTTGGTAAGCTGTGTTCTGATTGGTCAATTGAAAAGGTTACCTGACGCGACCTTCCACAAGGTTTTGTTAGACTCAGTATAGCAGTGTAACGAATAATACTGAGCCTAAGTTTACTTAGACTGGAGCAACAGAGATAGGCCCCTCCGTGGCCACTGCAGCCTTCAGGGCATCCTCCGACTCAGGCACGACAACAGCGAAGCCGGTAACGGTCGCGCCTACGTTCTCACGGCTGAAGTTGCAGTCTTTTTGCTATGGATCAGACATGTAAAAGGTTATTATATTATTTGTTGACGTGACCTGTTAATTTCGGGATGAAAAATTAGAATCTAACATACTAACCTTGGGAAGTCTATTTAGGATTTAAATAGGTGCAAACAAAAGTATCAGGTCATGGGGGACATATAGAATCAAACCAGGAAAGGTTCTGTTTGAAGCAGTGAAGCCTCATGACATCCGGGATACGGCTCTCATAATATGGCATCTAACTTCAAGGTGTTATTACACATGTACAACGTCATCCCACCTGAGCTATGCATAATGGTGGGATATATGCACAAGGGATGGAACTAATTTGTTCCGAAAATCCTGGAAAAGAATTTAGAATAAAAAAGACACAGTGAATATGTTGATGCATTGAAGTAAATGCGGTGTGTTTCCTCACAAAATGTGAGAAACAAAGCATAAATTCCCAGACTCCTCATTAGCAATTTTAAAATGGAGTTCGGCCCAGAGGTTACAGCGTTCGCACGTCTCACCAAATAAACCGCGTTCGATTCCTGACATGAGTAAAACATATAACGTGCATTTCTAGTGTCCCCAGTTGGGATATTCCAGGAATATTGTTGACAGCGGTTTAATAATCATTCTCACATACTTCCATTTCATCTCAATCATCGCGATCATGTAGAATGCTTCTCACCTCTGCAACGTATGGGTAGGACTCTTCCGTGTCTATGCCATCATTCTGACGAATGTAGTCGAATGCGGACGTCATGTATCCCCCCTCACAGCCGTAATTACCTAAGTATAAAACTATTATATATATTACCTCCTTTCAAAAGTTTAGACTCACTTAAAACACTCACTATATGTTATGGATATACAGTCAAGTCTCGTTAAGCCGACATCGTCCGTTGTACAGCAAATTGTGGGAGTAACGAGGATGTCAGATTAGTACAGATCACGTTCATGGTCAAAAACAGGACGATCATGATTCATATTAAGTGTGTGTGTTTGTGTGTAATTAGTGTTGGGAACTGACCTCTTAAACCATAATCGATTATTGACTTTAGATCACACGTTTTACAGCTAAACGATATGTACGTCAAGATATTTGTGTGTGTGAAAACTGAGAAAGTTGAACTCTAGGTCTACGTATGTGTCGACTTCAATGCAGAAATCAGAATATAACGGCTATAGATCTAAGTGTAGATGTAACAAGTATTAATAAATCTGAAATGGAACATGTTGTGGGAACTAACTGATACTGATTATCGCCTGGAGTTGATGTTAAATATACATATGAAACACTTATGGTAACTGGAATATGGAAAACGTGTAAAGTCGTTAAAAGGTTACAAGGTTTCATATATAGTACCTACCGTCCCTTGAACAGTCGACCAGATTCTGTTCTGACAGAGAAACCAGGCGCCCCGTCTTCCGGAAGTGCTGTCCTTCCAGGGAACACGTGGCAGAGAACGCCCAGCACGACCCACAGGCACCCTGCGTATACATATACAGATCGAGTCGGTATACACCAGTATATATATACGATCTGTATACACAGATATACAGGGAGTTTGTATACGCCAATACACATGGTCTCTATATACAGCAATACACATGGTTTCTATATACAGCAACTGAATGACATGATGTCTGTATACACCAATACACATGAAATCTATACACATCAATACACATGGAATTTGTATACACCAATACACATGGAATTTGTATACACCAATACACATGGAATCTGTACACACCAATACACATGGAATTTGTATAGACCAATACACATGAAATCTGTATACGCCAATACACATGAAATCTGTATACCCCAATACACGTTGAATCTGTATACGCTCATACACATGAAACCTGTACACACCAATACACGTTGAATCTGTAAACGCTCATACACATGAAATCTGTATACGTCAATACACATGAAATCTGTATACGCTCATACACATGAAATCTGTATACGCACATACACATGAAATCTGTATACGCCAATACACATGAAATCTGTATACGCCAATCCACATGAAATCTGTATATGCCAATACACATGAAATCTGTATACGCTCATACACATGAAATCTGTATACACCAATACACATGGAGTGACTGTCTATAAACAGATAGACAAGGTAACTGTATAAACAGATATATCTGGAGTCTGTATACACCAATTCACGCGGAATCTGTATACAATAATGGACATGTGAGCTATACACGAATTGCTGAAACATACATGAACAGTGTTGTCTGATGACTTGAGGATCCTAGCACCTACAACTCCAGACCTACAGTAAGTAGTTCACCTTATAATAATCTATACTCCTCTACCCTACATACATGAACAGTGTGGCCTGATGACTTGAGGAACCTAGCACCTACAACTCCAGACCTACAGTAAGTAGTTCACCTTATAATAATCTATACTCCTCTACCCTACATACATGAACAGTGTGGCCTGATGACTTGAGGAACCTAGGACCTACAACTCCAGACCTACAGTAAGTAGTTCACCTTATAATAATCTATACTCCTCTACCCTACATACATGAACAGTGTGGCCTGATGACTTGAGGAACCTAGCACCTACAACTCCAGACCTACAGTAAGTAGTTCACCTTATAATAATCTATACTCCTCTACCCTACATACATGAACAGTGTGGCCTGATGACTTTAGGAACCTAGCACCTACAACTCCAGACCTACAGTAAGTAGTTCACCTTATAATAATCTATACTCCTCTACCCTACATACATGAACAGTGTGACCTGATGACTTTAGGAACCTAGCACCTACAACTCCAGACCTACAGTAAGTAGTTCACCTTATAATAATCTATACTCCTCTACCCTACATACATGAACAGTGTGGCCTGATGACTTTAGGAACCTAGCACCTACAACTCAGACCTACAGTAAGTAGTTCACCTTATAATAATCTATACCCTCTACCCTACATACATGAACAGTGTGGCCTGATGACTTCAGGAACCTAGCACCTACATAACCCAGACCTACAGTAAGTAGTTCACCTTATAATAATCTATACTCTTACCCTACATACATGAACAGTGTGGCCTGATGACTTGAGGAACTCTAGCACCTACACTCCAGACCTACAGTAAGTAGATCACCTTATAATAATCTATACTCCTCTACCCTACATACATGAACAGTGTGGCCTGATGACTTTAGGAACCTAGCACCTACAACTCCAGACCTACAGTAAGTAGTTCACCTTATAATAATCTATACTCCTCTACCCTACATACATGAACAGTGTGGCCTGATGACTTTAGGAACCTAGCACCTACAACTCCAGACCTACAGTAAAGTAGTTCACCTTTATAATAATCTATACTCCTCTACCCTACATACATGAACAGTGTGGCCTGATGACTTTAGGAACCTAGCACCTACAACTCCAGACCTACAGTAAGTAGATCACCTTATAATAATCTATACTCCTCTACCCTACATACATGAACAGTGTGGCCTGATGACTTTAGGAACCTAGCACCTACAACTCCAGACCTACAGTAAGTAGTTCACCTTATAATAATCTATACTCCTCTACCCTACTCCAAAAGTGTATCAATGTATCATGATCAAAACCCAACAATAAACCAGATCATAATCTTGATGTTCAGGATGTTGTATCATTTAAAACTTTAGACACAACACGCACCGATCAAATGTTAGGACTGACCGACCTGATCCTTGACATTCGTGACATATCCTTCCCTCCGCCAGTCCACTGTGTCGGGCAGGTCCGAGGTGCTGACATTCAGGATAGGCGTCGACGCATCGTCCCGACTCCTCTTGTAACCGGTCATCTGCTGTAGAAACTCCTCGTAAGACTGTAACAGCAATTCAGCATATTGTTAGTTTATATGGCCCAAACACTACCGGGACTTATACAAAGCAGGATTGTCAGGAGGTAGTGAGACAGTTCGCTGTAATTTATTTAGCGTGTCGTAAAACTTTGATCATGGATTCACAGAAATTCATGGCTTTTAGCAGGGAGACTATATAAAGTAGAGTAACGTTGTTGAGTATCCCTGCTTTAAGTTATGCAGCGTCGTGACTTGTCTGGTTCAGACAAGATTGTTTACAAACAACATCGTACAGCTGTAGTACAGCTGAAAAAATACATATTCATGTTAGAATTGTACAATCGACTCCTTTCTTATGGACTGGACTGTTTTGTCGCTTCTGTTCACAATCCATGTAAATGAAATTCTGTTCCATCCCGTTAAAACCAACCATCTAATACATGTTTCACACTTAGCGAAGCCCATAATTTTTCCAATTCTTCAGCGAATCGTCAATGCTTTGCCTGCTATCTGCAGCTCTTCTTACGAAGCTCAGATGTTTAAAACAGCATTTACCTTAGCCTGTTTTGGTTTCCTTAGGGTCAGCGAGTTGGTTTGCAGTTCACAGGCCGATGATTCAAAAACTTCACTGCAAATTAATGATGTTTCACTTTCCGACCGGGGATTAACATTGCGCATAAGGTTTTCGAAAACTGACCAGTTCGGTAGAGGAACAGTGCTTTCAATTTCTCCTATTGTCTCAGAACTATGCCCAGTTAGCGCGCTCGCTGGGTATCTCACGTCCAGACCATGCACTACCTCACAGCTGTTTGTCCATTTTGATGGCTCGTCATTAACGCGCTATCAATTTCAGGCGATTCTCAATAAGTCGCTATCACATGTCGGTTATGACGTGACCCAGTATACCTCACATTCTTTCAGAATAGGCGCTGCTACAACTGCGGCGATTAATGGTTTGGATGAAAGTATAATTCAGCATTATGGTAGATGGTCATCTCGCGCATACCAAGGCTATATTAGGTTCTAATAAAATACTCACAAATAATTAACTTAATCTAGCTTGCCTTCTATTAATTACGTTGTTGTAGCAATTTTTCTGCTGTCAGATCTATGTTACAGATGTGGCCTGGGTAATTGGCGACAGCTACATGGCCAGAGCGAGGGGAGCTTGGAGCAACATTTGCAACGTCTTGGCACTACACGATGGCATGTCCGAGGCGGGAGGCGATGGCGCCACTTCCGATCTTCCCTTAACAATCTCTTGGCTTCTGCGGGTAACACCACTCCCAAATGGCTCGTGATCCATTTAGGTTCAAACGACATGTGCCAAATGTCCGCCAGGTGCATGTACGACGACATCCTATACGATTTGCTGTATGCCAAGCTACGTCAGCCGGACACCAGGTTGGTGTGGTCGTTCATGTTGCCACGTGTTGTGTGGCCGGCGGCTGGGAACATTAAAAAGCTTGAACTTTCTCGCAAAAAGCTCAATCGAAGACTGGCTAACAGAATTGAAGAGCTACATGGGATCAGCGTCCGCCACGATCAGATTGATCCAGTTAAATGTAGCTCGGAACATTACTTGGCTGACGGGGTGCACCTGTCACTCAGTGCAATGGACTCTTTCGTGCACAATATTATCAATGCTTTAACTGCCAACTAACTCAGATAATGCTAAAATAACGGCAATAAGTGAGCACACGCTTTTCATAATTTTTGCGCTAATTTTGGATTGTTTCTGCTGTTCGTCTATCCACTGTTTTCTAATACCTATATCGTGCTGTGTGGATGGCCGGCGATTTGTATCGCGGTGGCCTGTTTGAGGTGAGAAGTTCTCAATCGCTATGCTGCTGGTTGTCCGCTTTCACAGCGGAAACCACATAATCATAATTCCAGCCTGCTTTACAGTAGGTGGAATTCATTCGCTCGCTATGCTCACCTCGTCTGCTTGGTCACAGCGGAGAGGTGATTGAGTAATATGCTCTCGCTGCTACTTCTCACCCCTGTATAGCCATCCACACATATTGGCCACTACTTCCCAAAACAAATATCTTCCTTTTCATTTATAACGCTAGTCCAGCAATAATCGCATTTAGCGTTAACCGCTAAATTGTGTTATTGTTGGCGTCGCCATACCACGTGCCTTTGTTTATAAACATGACCTTGGCACGCGCAGCCGCAAACATTACGTGAACAGATGACGTCATCAGTTGCTACGTCATCACACCACGCGACAGATAACGGTGAGTTACCTCACTTCTCGCGTCACCACCGAACTCGCCTGTCGCGCAAAGCTATTAACCCGCCCTCCCTCACCGTGCTCACTTGTTCCCGTTATCTGATTGAGTGTACATTGCAGTCTAGGAAATTTAATATGTATACATTGTACCTTTTATTCACTGTTCATGAATTAAAACGTCATGGTGTGTATGGCCTGTTTGAGGTGAGAAGTTCTCAATCGCTATGCTGCTGGTTGTCCGCTTTCACAGCGGAAACCCATAATCATAATTCCAGCCTGCTTTACAGTAGGTGGAATTCATTCGCTCGCTATGCTCACCTCGTCTGCTTGGTCACAGCGGAGAGGTGATTGAGTAATATGCTCTCGCTGCTACTTCTCACCCCTGTATAGCCATCCACACATATTGGCCACTACTTCCCAAAACAAATATCTTCCTTTTCATTTATAACGCTAGTCCAGCAATAAATGAAATACTGTTCCATCCCGTTAAAACCAACCATCTAATACATGTTTCACACTTAGCAGGCTAGATGGAATATATTCGTGTTGAATCTTTGTAATCTCTATCATCTTTATAAATATCCACCATTGCAGCGCGGTACGGAGGTGGATATGCAAGGGTACAAATATATCGCCATACGGGGTATCCTCCCATAACGCAGACCTCCCAAACGCAGACCACACGGTCATAAAATGTGAGGAGCGATGGGGTAGCTTAGCTGTTAAAGCGTTCGATCGTCACAACAAAGACCCGGGTTCGATTCCGCGATGAATGAAGGATATTCCTGGGGTCCCAACCGTCATACTGCTGCAATATGCTCACCTCAAATCTTATAAACCTTTTCCAGTTCAATCTAAACACTTTTTAAAGCTTAAATCATGTGCAATTGGAGCTTACCATGTCGGCATATTTGTTTTGTCCGAGTCTGTAGGTGTGCTGCCCAAGGTCCGCCTCCAGGTTATGACGTTCTATCACTCCAACATTGTTTTCCCATATGGCTCGTCTGAAACAAACACACTCACTATACATGGCATACATACAATACGTTGTCACCTGCTCTCTGATACAAACATCAACTTCAGAGAATAATCAGTTTTCGAAGGCAAAACAGAGGTGAAAATGCACACACACACACACACACACACACACACACTACATGTTTACCTGAATGCATTAATTACAGTTATTAATTATCTGAAACAAACGCTCACCTATCAGCTTCTTCATCACTTAGGTACATTTTTTTGTGCTGCGACTTAAAGCGTTCCCATTCCTGGTCAAGATCAATCAGCGAACAGAGGGTGGGCACCAAAAGTGAGAGCAGAACACACAAACGCAACATCTGTAAAACACGAAATTGAGTCAAATTAGGTTAGAAAATGGGCATACGGGACATAACTAAACCATTTGTTTAATTCAGCGATTAACACAATTAACACAAGCTGTACATAAACAGTCATTAAATATTAGGATGTGTAGACAGCCAAATTGAAACGATAGGTTAACCAAGCAATCCTTGTACAAAAGAATTCCGTGTGAAACCAACAAATAACAAGGAAGGGTTACACAATTAGAAAGTGCAAAAGAACACCCTATCTTGACAATTGTTAGAAAATAATCCGTGTGCTGTAAATATATATTAATGCATAAATAATAATGTCATATTAACTAGGTTTAAAATCAAAATACTGTAAATTAATCACAGCTTGTGGTAGGCAATAGAGTCCCAACCACAGACCACTGGTAGCACAAAATTCTGGAATTTCCCATCCAAGTGATGAATATATAATACTCGAAATCTCCATTGTGATTGGGAAAGTACTAAATGTTCGATGCTGAAACACATCTTAACAACCAAACCACTCTTTAATAAATAAACTATATTTCTAGCCACCATATTCAGTAACATAGGTGCCTACTCACCATGTATTTGGACAGAGAAAATAACGCAAGGAACCAGCCTACACGGTCTATGATATCAGGTCCTCTGGTCGCTGTCCCTGCCCTCTGCCGCTGTAGTAATGATATCTGTAGGACATCTCCGAATAACTCATGTCACTCACCCACGTGTGGCAAGTTGTAAAACAAGTGTATCATCAGGTGAAAGCCACACTCATCCGTGTATACAGAACATGAACCCTGAGCTGAGGGTCCAGAGGAACAGGTGTTTACACACTGATTTCCATAAAATATATGGCTCAATTATCAAATGATTTCATAGAAGTTAGAAACACATGAACTGCGTGTTTACTGGGATATCAAATAACAAAGGAATAACATGGACAAATCGTGCAGGTTCTGTTTCAAGTGAGTGAGTGAGTATGGTTTTACGCCGCTTTCAGCAATAATCCAGCAACATCACGGCTGTTTCAAGAGTGTAATGTTTGCAGTTTTCATTCAAACCTATAAATGTTTTGAGGGTATCAGTTCTAGATGCTTGATGGGCATTTAGAAGTTGGGAGGTAACACAACAAGGTATGTTATGGATTTACAACTTCTTTAATATTTACAACACGACGTTTCTGGGCTACTTCTAAACATCTCATCTAAACACATCACTTAATCTCTGTACATCTCAATCTGTAATACTATCTCACTGGCTTCCTGTACATACTATATATTTTGCTTGTATCATATTCTGTCATTCACCTGATGAAGGGGCAAGACGTAGCCCAGAAACGTCGTGTTGTAAATATTAAGAAGTTGTAAATCCATAACATAAGTTGTTGTGTGTCAGTTCTAGGAGTATGTGTGATATACAATGCAATTCGGGATGGGATATGGACGTGGTGGGTTTGTGTCAGATGCTCAACCGTTTACAACGTTTCAGTTGGGATACTTTGGAATTGACTCAGCATGTTTTAATGAACTCAACAACTCAGAACGATATAGGATTCGGGGACCTTGGTGGGTATGTGGTGATTTCGGATATGTTATACACGCTCGTAGGTAGGTGGTGGTTTACAGTCAAATTCCCTTGTGTCGAAGTTGAAAGGAACTACGTAATTTCGGCATATCCGGGGTTCCATACAAACGCAGTTGATGACTAAGCTAAGAAATGCACTGTAACCAAACCTTTACATCGACACTACACATTAAGTTTGACATAATAGTGTTTTCAAGAGCGTAATAAATATACTCAGTTCATAAATCAAGAACTGCTACGAAATCGTACGATCAACCGCGAAGTATTCACGGATTTGAGTAATCTATATATTAATCTTTATAAACATCCATAATATGCAGCGCGGTAAGGAGGTGGATATGCAGGGGTACAAATATATCGCCACACGGTAATAAAATGTGAGGAGCGATGGGGTAGCTTAGCTGTTAAAGCTTTCGATCGTCACGCCGAAGACCCGGGTTCGATTCCTCGATGTGTGTATGGCATTCCTGGGGTCCCAACCGTCATATTGCTGCAATTTGCTCACCTCAAATCTCATAAACCTTTTCCAGTTCAATGTTAACCTTTTTTAAAGCTTAAATCACGGTAACGTGAGGTGTAGTAACAGTATCTTGCCACACCAATCGTGCATCACCAATGTTACAAAATATCCCACAAAACCGACACGTATCGATCTTTGTAAACGTGATAATAAAATAACATTTATACTGGATGCGGAGTGATTCTGTCCCTTAAACCTATTTTGATCCGTTGGTCACGGTTCTTTTATTCGTATTGGTTTCATCCGCGCCATACACGTTCAGCAGAAGGAGAGAGTGAGTGAGTTTAGTTTTACGCCGCTTTTATCAATATTACAGCAATACCACAGCGGGGAACACCAAAAATGGGCTTCACACATTGTACCCATGTGGGGAATCGAACCAGGGTCTTCAGCGTGATGAGCGAACGCTTTAACCATTAGTCGGTCCCTCCGCAACTTCAGCAGAAGGAACACACCTTTGTGTGTCATTTCAGGTTTTCCGCCATTGTTACATAGCCACCCCCTTCTTTCATATTACTGTAGTTAATCTGCCATGCCAAGACATTTTATAGCTGCTGTAATTTGAATACATACGGCGTTCTTTGTAGGAAAATTCTATTTTTCCAAAGAGTATATTTTTGCATGTTATTGTAGTATATACGTTGGTGTGACATGCGATGTTTCAGCGAGCGTAAAGTGCGATGTTTCAGCGAGCCTGTACCACCATAAACCACACTAAATGAATGTTGGTACATTGAAGAGACTTGTAAATCACCTACGATGTGCACGTCTTAGAAAGCCTGATTGAGTCACTTTTTTGTAAAATATTTTACAGAACATTCTCGTTATTTCAATTATTTGTATACTTTTTTCGAAATTTCCAGCTTTTTCTCGTTACTTCAAATAGACTTTCGTAGTTACGATTATTTTGTCGCTAGGTTAACTTAACTAAAAACCTTTTTTTGTTACTTCGATTATTTCATATATTGTATCGAAATATCGAGGCTTTTCATCTTTACTCGGTTATTTTCAATAATTTTTTATAACGCTATTTCATGTTTTGAAATCAAAATTGCCAACGTGTCACAATTAGCCTTTCGTGCAATGGTATTGAACAATCGATATGACACTGTCACTGCAGGAACTAGAAACACAAACACTGATTATTATCATGTCTATTTTGTTCTTTATTGATGTCCGTGTATGTTCACAATAGTTAACTTGTCATTCACCTAAGATGTACACCTTCGAATGGTATTACTGGACAGATATGGTACCGTTGCAACAACAACTACATGTACGGCGTCTCATTATTTTGGGTGTCGTCACGGTCGTCTACACAAGGGGCAGGGTTCCAAACGTGGCCACTCCACACATGTTGCCATCGTTACGTGCAAGGAGCATGTATCCGTCCTCGCCCCAAGTGGTGCTCCAACTGGAAGACATACATGATGACCTCAAATGTTTTTTTCTGATGACAGTGCAGTTTTACTTAATGCATACTGATAATTTATCGTTGATGTGTAGCTTAGTACCCGTCTATCATTACTTACCTGGGGAGGTAAGGGTGGGCCAGTCGTGATGTTGTGTCCCCTGGGCACGCCATAAACCGGTTTATGGGTTCGAATCCCGGGTTGCCCCTATTGTACTTCTAGAAATTGTTAACGTCATCTCTATCTTGGGTTGCTCGCAACGTCTAAGACCTGCACCATTTCGGGCTCCCCCTTTCCTGCCTCAATCACCCACCCCCTGTGCGTATATATATATATAACATAACTGTTGCTTACGTAGAATGTATACCTGAATATCATCCCTTATGCGTGAAGATCCGGGTTAGAATTGGTCTACAGCAACTCATGCTTGTCGTAAGAGGCGACTAACGGGATCGGTCATGTCATCGTATCCCAGTTGCGTAGATCGATGCACATGATGTTGATCACTGGGTTGTCTAGTCCAGACTCGATTATTTACAGTCCGCCGCCTTTTAGCTGGAATATTGCTGAGTGCGACGTTAATCATTCATTCATTCATTCATTCATTCATTCATTCATTCATTCATTCATTCATTCATTCATTCATTCATTCATTCATATTCATTCATTCATATTCATATTCATATTCATATTCATATTCATATTATACCTGATGATAAGTCCACTTACCTAGCGATGAGCTAGTTTAATTTGAACGCCCGAGCCTGACTGTACCAAATATTTGAGATGGAGCGAGCCGTGTAGGTTTAAGATCCAATGTACTGTGCCTCATATATAGTAGTACCTTGGTAGATGTTCTGTATGTTCTGTATGACGCATGACACTGTTTCGTATATTTTGTATGTATGTATGTATGCATGTATGTATGTATGTAAGCCCAGGAATTTACTATGTGTCTATTGAATATGGAGTACGGTATACGCATCAGCTGTCATGGTATTTCGTATACACCTGGGCCAAGATTTTCGAAGCTCTCTTAGCGGTAAGATAGTCGTAAGTTAATGTTAAGATATGGGACTTACGACTTCTTAGCGCTAAGAGAGCCTCGAAAATCTAGGCCCTGAGGCTTTCATCCCAACATCTTACCTGATTCGTTCACAAATCCATCCTATTTGTCCTGATTCGTTCACTCACTCACCTTACCTGATTCGTTCACACTCTAAACCAGTGCTGCAAGAGCCAGCACACGACACAAGTGTTTACCTGTTCTTCAGCAGCCAGTAGTCTTTATTATCCTGTGTGCCGTAGCCCACGACAGTCACAGCGTGGCCGAGGCCGCTGCTGGTGCATTCAGGGGAGCTGTAGACGCCGCTCTTGTACAGCATGAAAGTTAATGGTGAAGAGTCCAAGCCTACAGAGATGGGCCCTTCCAAGGCCACTGCACTCTTCAAGGCATCTTCCGACTCAGATATAACAGCAGCAAAACCGGTAACAGTCGCGCCAACATTTTCTCGTTTGAACTTGCAAGGTCCTTGCTGTTCAAGAAGAAGGAAGTGTATTGTGCCTGATCAGTTCAATAACACGGTATCGTTTGTTGTTGCAACCTGTGGTAACTGGACCAGAGCCAGCTTACTCGAAACAACCTTAGCGTTAAAGCCATCTTTACTCCTACGTAACGCCTACGCTTACAGTCTTAAGACCTAACATAATTTTATTTTGCTTTGTGCAAGTCGATCCAGTCCTGTGATGGAATGTTTAGGACACAATGAAAATTAATTACATTGACGTTTTACTGCCAGAATAAAGTGAAGGTGGATGGCGTGATACCAGATTGGCTTAAAATCGACCAGGAGGAGCTCAACGTTCACACCGGCGTGTACAACATCATTTGTCCTTGTACTGCTTTGACACGTGCAATATTTCTTCACTGCAAAGTGCTATCCCCCTGAAACATTTCTACATTTGACCACTTTCTGAATCGCACCTCACCTCGGCAACGTATGGGTAGGACTCCTCTGTGTCGATACCATCATTCTGACGAATGTAGTCATATGCCAGTGCCATGTTCCCTCCATCACATCCAAGATTACCTTCAGTAATAGGGAGTGTGTATCAATGTGTGGAATAATTTATTTATTGTTTATTACTTAAGACATTTATGACATAACTCATATTCGGAATCGGAATGCCGAAAATTTTCAGGGGCAATAGAATGTGATCTGACATCTACCATTCCTTGAACATTAGACCAATTTCTGTTCTGTGAAGGGTTCAATCCGTTTTATGACACCTACCATTCCAGTAAGATTAGATCAGGATCTTCTCTGAAACCTACAGTTCCTGGAACGTACGACTAGGTTCTGTTCTGACACCTACCACTCATGAAACTGTGGATCAGGTTCTTTTATGACAGGTACTGTTCTTGGAATAGTCAAATAAGCTTTGTTTCTATACCTACCATTCCGGGAACAGTCGACCAGGTTCTGTTCTGACAGAGACACAAGTTTCCCCGTCTTCCGGAAGTGCTGTCCTTCAAGAGCACCGGTGGCGGAGAACGCCCAGCACGCTCCACATGCTGCCTATATACACAGATTCCAATAAACTTTAGTACAGTTTAACACCGTTATATCGAACATTAAAGTGTCGAACTGTTGTCTAGAAGTAAAAGCTTGCTCCCTTTCTTTATTCAACATTTTTATGTCGAACCTTCAATAACTCGAAGCATATATTTATATCCCTTTAACTTCGACACAGTGGTGTTTGACTGACCTTTTGATCGGTCACTTCTTCTAGCCACACTACGAATTTTATAGTATAGTGGACAGTGTTATTGGTGTGAAAAACCGTTCCGAAAATATGCAAATAAGGCCATAATCAGGAACTGCTGTTACATTGATGTACTATCTGCCTGTAATGTAAACCATTCGCGTCACGGTCCCAATACCCTTGGATATGTGTTTCCCGCTGTGTAGGACTTGATGTAGATGAAAACATCTGTAGTTATTTGGCACTATATAACAAAGTGGACAGTTTACTCAGCTATAGTATTCATACGCAGTTTCTAGACCATCCTCGATAATCTCCAGGGTATACGTTACGATCACTCTCCACTATACCCTGGATGCATCCACGGGTCATACCCCACTTTGCAGGACAGCTGATGTGATGATAACGAATTAAGAGTAACGGTCCGCTAATTTGCCGGCTAAAGTCTGTTTTCAGTGAGTAGTTGTCACCCATAGTCATTTGGAGGACATGAGCGGCTTGGCCCGATGATTTTATTTCCTCCCTTGGCTGGCTTTTTATCCAATCAGGTGTCTACGCTGGGAAGTTGAGCGAACCAATCTCAACTCACTTTCGATTCTTAAATTATCTAACCGTTTAAACGTGGCAACAAAATTGATGCCGAGGTACTCTGAAAGAGGTAGAAGGAGTTCTTTTATATATTTCATATCTGTTTATATAAGTTTCAGATCTGTCAATTTGTCTGTATTATTTCCTCAAACATCTGAGTGGCACTGCGAACAAACCTTCGCGACTGCGACCGCTATCTTTGCTGACACTGGCAAGCTCGGATGTAACGGCGGCTTAGCTGATTGGCTACTGTGAGAATGCGGAGCCAGCAAAGGGAGGTAATATAATTATCAGGCCAAGCCGTGGATGCATTCAGGGTATAATGGAGAGTGATCGTAACGTATATCCTGGACATTATCGGGGATGTTTCTAGACGTACTTCACTGAGTTAAAATGCGTCTTTTGAAAGATTGTCATAAAATTGGCAGTATACTTTCATGACCTGCCAAGGGGCGGGTGGGTGGTGGGGTGGTGGGGTGGGGGTGGAGTGGGTGTGGTTAGCCTAGTGGTTAAAGGGTTCGCTCGTCACGTCGAAGACCCGCGTTCGATTTCCCACATGGGTACAATGTGTGAAGCCCATTTCTGGTGTCCCCCGTTGTGATATTGCTGGAATATTGCTAAAAGCAGCGTAAAATCATATTCGCATTCATGACCTGCCACATAGTATTGTTTTGTAAAGTGTGAACACCTGTGACCTCCTACCCAGGTGTTCGCTCAGTGAATCAACTTGACTGACCTGGTCCTTGACGTTCGTGACGTAACCATCCTTGCGCCAGTCCACTGTGTCCGGCAGGTCCGAGGTGCTGACATTCAGGACAAGCGGCAGCTGACCGCCTTGACTCTTGAACTTCTTATAACCGGTCATCCGCTGTTGAAACTCCTCGTGAGACTGCAGCAAATAACACAGGGGGATACCGAGGAACAGAAACTTCATTAACTCTATATGTGTCAAGAAAATCAATCGAGGGTCAAATAGCAGTTTGTGAAGCCCATTTCTGGTGTCCACGCCGGGATATTGTTGGACTATTGATAAAAGCGGCGTAAAACTAAACTGATCCACAACAGTACTCACTTTGCATCGAAATACAAATGATTTACACATGTACCGCATGTCAATGATTACTTTAGATCTTAAATCTCAGACCATGGATCGTACCATGTCGGCATATTTGTTTTGTCCGAGTCTGTAGGTGTGTTGTCCAAGGTCCGCCTCCAGGTTATGACGTTCTATCACTCCAACATTGTTTTCCCATATGGCTCGTCTGAAACAAACACACACACGCTACGCATAGCTACTTGGAACACATATACAATAATACATATATACGCATACCTACTTAGAACACATATACAACACATATATACACCTAGCTACTTGGAGCACATATACACACAACACGTGACCACCTGCACACATTTTTACACAACACTTGGTGTTCCGATGCACGTTTCCGGGAATACGATACCAAAAGAAGATAATTTTTCTCAATTTGTGTGATACAATTATATCATCGTAAGACATTTTGCCCAGCGCTCACCTATCGACTTCTTCGTTATGGCTATAAGCTTTGTGGTACTGAGATTTATAACGTTCCCATTCTTGGTCCAGCTCAATCCGCGAACAGTGAATGGAAACAATGAGAATGAGTACCACACCAAACGCAACATCTGTAAAACAACAAAACACAAAAATGAATTGTGAACAATAAATCTTATTGGTCAGCGTTTATGTACTGTTCAAGAATGTTCTTTGTGAACTTGTGAACCGCGGACATTTTGAAAAACTATCAATCATTTGTAAGCATGAATATCTTCCCTATCGATGTACGGCAATAAATCAATATATGCATGAATAATGTTGATTTTATGTGCCCTTTTATTAACACCGGTGTAAAAGAACTTTTAGTGTACAGTATACATGTGATCATTTGAAACATAGCTTAACCTTACTGCCTTCTTTCTGACAACCCTATAAAACGTACACAACATACTGCCTTCTTTCTGACAGCCCTGTAAAACGCACACATCCTACTGCCTTCTTTCTGACAGCCCTGTAAAACGTACACATCCTACTTTCTGCTTTCTGACAGCCCTGTAAAACGTACACATCCTACTGCCTTCTTTCTGACATCCCTGTAAAACGCACACATCCTACTGCCTTCTTTCTGACATCCCTGTAAAACGTACACAGCATTCTTTCAGACAGTCCTGTGCATTGCAAACGTAACACTGCATTGCCTATCTTTGACGATAGTTTCTTCTCAAAGCTAAAAATTACCCCTTGAATTAAATTATAATCTGTCTCACAGTCCCTGAATTTTTGTCTTCACCGAAGCACTGCCTGTAATGCAAGCGCTCTAAATGAAGCAAGTTTAGATTTCTTAGATGTCCACGTTTTTACTGATCTCCTTTTCAGTTTCAACTGAGCTATTTGTTTCTCTAAGTTATATATTTTCAGAGACTAAGCGTTAGCAAGGCTACGTCACTGTCGCCTGTTTTGTCTTAAGTCGGTCACGAACGCTTAATCTCGCAACTTAATGTCTCTCACCGTGGATGTACTTTATCTGTTTTAACCATGTCAGATAGCCTGGGATTAAAGGGATACCACGGTCGTGTTATTATAGAGAGTAAAATATGAGTTTGTCGCAGTCTATTTTGTCTTCATTCCCTGTGTTTAACAGACATAAAACGATGAGGTACATATATTATTGTATCAATGCTAAGGTATGTGCTGTCGCCTTCGCCGTACGTGATAGGAGTGGTTGTCTATATAGGATTCAACTTAACCTTTTAAATACATCTTTATTTGCTCCTCATGACAATAAACGTACGTTTTCATTTGATGCTGAAGTGACTTAAGTGGGGATATACTCTTCGTAATGGATATTTATTCATTTACATTAAGTGTGTTATTGTCATGGAAATTACACATTCCTTCATCGGCCATGAGATTGTAATTAACCATCATTAAACGTGGAGGTTGCCATCCTATAATATCTGCGTTTCTACCTACACACACACCCCGAGACAACTGAAGTATGTGTGACACCAGCTTTCTTGCAGCATGTGGTTTTAAAACGTATCTAATGAACGAAAGCGAGTTTCGAAACGAGTTGTAAGATGTATGGTATATGTCAGGCTAAAGTGAAGCAATCTGTTTCTTAAACCATAATCGTACCGCGTTAGCACCGAATCGACACAGACACGTGAAAATATGGGCTAGATTTGGTCTCCAACAACCAGACATGGGGTAATTGTAATTTGTAATTGTAATTGAATGTAATTAATTACAAAAATCTATGTAATTGCATGTAATTTGTAATTGAATGTTTAAAATGTAATTTGTAATTGTAATTTAATTAATTAAAATCTCAATGTAATTGAATTTTTCAATTACATTTTCAATTACATCAAATTACATCTCACGTTTTTATTTTGGTGGTCATCAGGCAACCCTTGCAATTATATTCTGTACAATAAGGAGGACAAAGCAGTGTTTTTCAATAAGATACTTGTTGTTGATATATACTCTAGCAGGTGTTAAGTTTTGAAAGAGATTTGAATGTCTAAGCCTTTGTAACTATCACCATCTGCACATTTGTGAAACAAAGGGAATCAGTAACGCATGACTGAATGTAGGTTGGTATTTGAGGAAATGGGGGATTAACAGTACTATTAGTCAAGTTCCTATCAAAATGGCCTCTTTGTTTATTTCTCATAGGATATGATATTCAAAATCTTACTGAACTGTAGTCCTATTTTTATAATCATGATTTAGTGACCACTGTTTACCAACATCGATATCTTGTTGATTAAAGGAATACAGAAATATATTTGTTTTGTTTTTGGTTTTTTGTTTTAACAAAGTAATTTGTAATTGTAATTAATTACATTGGTAATGTAATTGTAATTTAATTAATTACATTTTAATTTAAGGTGTAATTGTATTTGTAATTGTAATTGAGGAAAATCAAAGTAATTGTAATTTAATTAATTACATTTCAAAGTAATTGAACCCATGTCTGCCAACAACCACTGCTTTTCATAGTACTGTAGTTAACCTGTCCTGTCAAGACATCTTGTAATAGTTACCGTATTGTATATGGCGTCCTACCAGTCGAATCGACTCACACTTTTGTCTATTCCCATGTGGCCCATCAATACATAACACAACGGTCATTTTGTACTTTATCCGGCCTACTGCTTACTACACATACCTGGTGTGTTCGTCCATAGAAACGTTTCCTAATCACAGCGAAAATGATAACGAACACCATCTAAAACCTAACAATCCATTAACACTCGAAACTAAAACCCATATAGTTTCGACACTGATGTAAGTTAGTTCCATCGACGCACGTCCAACTTATTAATGAATGACAATAGGGAAAGTCCATCAGAATCAGACATTAGGTCATGAGCAATAGTTTGGAGTAGCCTATCACGTTCCAGGAATTCGATATCGACATGGTTTATGCCAGTTCTCTCCCATGGGTTTCTCACCTACTGGGCCTAGATTTTCGAAGCTCCTCTCTTAGCGCTAAGATAGTCGTAAGTGCCATACATTAACATTTACTTACGACTATCTTAGCGCTAAGAGAGCTTCGAAAATCTTGGCCGAGGTGTATACGAAATACCATGACAGCTGATGCGTATACCGTACTCCATATTCAATAGACAGGCAGTAAATCCCTGGTCTTCCGGAACCCTTGTTGCACAAGTTCAATTATCTATTAGAGATGTAGGCTAGTTTTTAATATTGGTTCTGTGATATTCTGTTTTAGTCAAGGGGCATAGGGATATTTTGGTTCAGATTCTTCCAAAAGCACCAAATTTGGCACAGAGGTAGCTTAAGACATACTAAGCTTATTTCTGACGGGCGCCAAGATGGCCGCCCCCTGTGGCGGCCATATTGGACAAAAAACAAAATGGCCGCCACCCCGATTTAAGAAAAAAATTAGTCATAAATTGTCATAAATTGTACATAATCATGTTGTATATCAAATGAAAGACAATAAAAAGAGCTTTACAGTGATATATAAATAAAATTTGTGTGAATGATATTAAAGAAGTTAGATGAAAAATAAGATCTAGAGCGTGGACCAAAAACATCAAAATGTCAATAAACAAACGAAGAAATACAAAATATATCCTATTTCTTTTTCTAAGAACATGCTTTTTTTATAGTTTCTTATCGATTTATGTAGAAAATGCCATTTTAGAAAAAAAATATAATATGGTTCACTACACATGATGTGGATAATCTTGACAGCAAAGCACAAGGAAATTTCTCACAAGATGAATTTCATGGCTATGCACTCAGTGTGACCAATCATCTATCAAAGGAGAATATGGGAGTAAAGCATGCTCCGATAAAACAGGATCCAATGGACACAACCCCTCCCAAAGTTGCGGGACTTTTATACGATTCAACAACCAGTAGAACTCCCTGAGACAGATGTCTATGCTCCAAAATCTACTACAAACCAAGTCCGACCAAGTCTCCTTGTAGAATATTCAATGGATAAGGATCAGGCATGGCTTACACTCGTCTCAGAGGTATTGAACAATGGTCCAGTAGAAGAGGGTGACATCATCACCTGGGCAGGGTACAACTCGTCTCTGGCAAGTGACAGATCTGTGAAACCTCCAGCAGAGATTGGTATACATGTATATTCTTTCTTCACGGATAAAGCAGCATCTGCATCTTCTATGAAACATGCTATGGATTTGTCTGTGCGGGTTCTTAAACCCGGGCCAGACCACAGTACTTGGAGCAGATCAGCCACTATATGCCATTATAAAACTCCTCCAATGGCAGTTCCCAGATGCTTACGGGGAAGACAAGCTTTTTGCTATGATGGGTGCATTGCACATCGAAGACAAGATGCATCTTATGATAGGGAAGCTGCTTCGTGACTCAGTGTGGGCAACGGTACTAACTCAAGCAGAGATCCTCACATCTGGTCGAGCTAAGTCAACCCTCCATGAGCATCACATCAAGCGCACAAGATATGCCCACCAGGTTTCCCTCATATCGCTGAACATCCTCAAGCAGAATGCATACTCTGAATATTGCAAGGGTGTCATGGGTCCACCGGAATCCTTCAACATGTGGGATCAACGTTCTCAAAGTTTTCCACAGTTCAAATACTGGTCTACTATCATTGAACTAGAACTGCTCATAGCTCGTTTTGTGAGGTCCTTGAGGGAAGGAGACTTCCAACTTTATGTACAATCATGTGACGAACTTTGTGATTGGTTTCACGCATTGGACCACACAAACTATGCACGTTGGCTTCCAGTACATGTACGTGACATGGTTGAACTTAGCAAGAATCACCCTGAGATACATGATGAATTTATGAAGGGCAATGTCGTTCAGAAATCATCCAAGAAGTTCAGTCTTACGGCCAAGGACCAAGCCCATGAACAGTCCAACAAATCCCTCCAGGAACACGGTGGAGCAACTGGTCTTTATGAGAATCCTGAAGCACTTACCCTTTATATGCTTGCAGGATCAGACTGTATGCGGATGGTAAAGGAGTTTGAATCAACACATGACCTTTCACCGCCAGGCAACAGCTCATCATGAGGAAGGACATCATTTACAAGTCAAATTTAAAAAAGACGCTTGTTGCTCTGGATACCCAAACTGTCATGGAGCCGTCCGTCGTGAACAGTCTGTTACAAATCTCTGAAGCTGGCAAAGCCCTGCATGTAGATTATGTCCAAGAGAGACTGGTGCAGATATCTGTGCCTGTAACAGATGCAATCAAAAGAAATAACATGCTGACCTTTGCAAATCGACCTGACCCAAGGAGAAAAGAACCTAAGGATGTTGGTATTCAGAAACAAAACATGATATTGGTGACACAGCTCTTCCTTTCTTTGCAGTCCCGCCCAGATGCAGACTTGGCCGACTTTTTCATGTATGAAAATCAAAAGGAACCACCAAGCCTAGCTGACAGAGGGTCAGTGAGATTTTGAACAAAGTCAGACATACTGGACTGTATCAAGGAACCAACTGGCCGTACAACTGCACCAAACTAGCAACAGTCGTGGTTTTGGATATGGCAGCAGTCATCCACATGCTGCGCCCAACAGTAGCAAAACATTCTCTGACTATGTGTCCCTTCAAGTCATTCCATATCTTGAGGCCCAGATGAAGAATGGAGCCCAACGGATTGATGCGGTATGGGATAACTACCCAGAGAGTAATAATCTTAGGCCTGGGATTGGTTCAAGAACAAGAGTTGGTGATGGCAGCACCCTGATACCAAAACATGAATCGAACAGTGGTTTCCTCAAGAATGAGGAGAACAAAAGGGAATTCTTCTCATTCAGCAGCAGTCAGATCTCCAAAACGGATATGGATGGAAAGCTCCTCCTGAGTACCCACTGTGAAAATGTGCTTTCAAACCAACAGTGTGACCTGGGTACACTACAGCCATGCAACCATACCGAGGCTGACACAAGAATCATCCTACATCTCCGACATGCTGCAGAGCACGGCCACACATCAGCCTATGTTCGCACTGTTGACAGCGATGTTGTGATTTTGGCAATAAGGGTCTTTGAGACCTTAGGCTTAAAGAGCTCTGGTTCGGATTTGGAACTCGTAAAAAGTGCAAAGACATCCCAATCCATGATATGTACTATCATCTTGGTACATCAAAGTCCTTGGCATTACCCCTCTTCCACAGTCTTACTTGCTGTGACACAACTTCACATATTCTTGGATGTGGAAAGAAGACTGCATGGACAACCTGGACAAGTCTACCTGACCTGACAGACACACTAGTGGCTCTCACACAGGATACTGAACACTTCGTGATTGAGTCGAGACACATTCAACAGACTGAAAGATTTGTTGTACTGATATGCAGCAGAAGTTGTGGAGTAGGGCGCATGAATGAAGCAAGGCATCGCCTTTTCACTACTGGAAGCAGGTCATTGGAAAAACTCCTGCCTACTCAAGCTGCGTTGTTTCAACATGTGACACGATCTATTCTGCAGACGAGTTTCTTTTGGGAGCAGGCAACCATTGCTTACCAGGAAATCCCTGACTTCAGTGATTGGGGTTAGCAGAAAGACGACAGCCATAACTGGCAACCTCTATGGACCACCCTCAGTGATGCTTCAGCAGCATGTTCTATCCTCCTACACTGTGTTTGCAAAAAGGGCTGTGTGGGAAGGTGTAAATGCAACAGTGCTGGTGTACGATGCACAGTCCTCTGCCATTGTGAAGGAGGATGCACAAATACTGACAGTAACTAGGTAAAATAGTTACTATATCTATCACTGACAGTCATGTGCAAGTAAAATATATACATTCCGTGTATACTATTGTTATTCTGGTGTACTCTGATTCACTACTGACTGGATATTTTTTTATAGGTAAAACATCTTAGGATTAAAACATAAATATTATTTCTACATAATTCCATTTTAAGTCACTTACAATATGATACCTCTTAAAACCGAACACTGAATTGACAATTTCCAAAGTGAAAATATCTTCAAATTCCAAGTATTGTATGAATTTTGATGGGTTTTGTATCATATTTTGAAGTTTTCGGTCAGCTCTTTAAATTTTATATTGGTAATAACTTTTGTCACACTGGTTACAATAAATCAATGTATACATCATTACAAAGCTCTTTTCATTATCTTTCATTTGATATGTGACATGACCATATACAACCGTAGGAAAAAAATATTCTTAAATCGGGGTGGCGGCCATTTTGTTTTTTGTCCAATATGGCCGCCACAGGGGGCCGCCATCTTGGCGCCCGTCTGGAATCGAATTAGTATGCCTTAAGTTACCTCTGTGCCAAATTTGGTGCTTTTGGAAGAATCTGAACCAAATGCCCTGAAAATAGCCCTAAGCTCCCTGACTAATACATACATACATACATACATACATACATACATACATACATACATACATACATACATACATACATACATACAGATAATTATATATTCAATAGTATTGTATCTACATAAGAGCCATATTATTTACATAAAGGCCATATCATAGAATGGTTTTATACATACATACGGGTCATATTATAGAATAGAATTATATCCACATAACGGCCATATTATAGAATAGTATTCTATCTGCATAATGGTCATGTTATGGAATAAAATTATATCTACACAAAGGCCATATTATAGAATAATTTCATATCTACATAGAGGCCACATTATAGAATAGTATTATATCTACATAAAGGCCATATTATAGAATAGCATTATGTCTACATAAATGCCACAGTATTATATCTGCATGTTATATATAGAATGGTAATATGTCTACATAAATGCCATGTTATAGAATAGTGTTATATCTACATAAAGGTCATTTTATAGAACCGTATTATATCTACATTAAGGCCATATTATAAGGTCACAGATCATCGTGTTTAAAATAATATTTTGGGGTAAAGCGAAGCCCTTTGTCCTCTCTACTATCATGACAATCTCTATAACAAGTTTTGGTTTATCAGGGGCGGTCAAAATATACGAAACAGTGTCATGCGTCATACAGAACATACAGAACATCTACCAAGGTACTACTATTAGTATATATGAGGCACAATACATTGGATCTTAAACCTACACGGCTCGCTCCATCTCAAATATTTGGTACAGTCAGGCTCGGGCGTTCAAATTGAACTAGCACATCGCAGATAAATCATTAAAACTTTTTTTCATGTAACAGTAAAACAATATATCCTCCTAAATTCCTAAATAGAGTGACAGGAGGTCCGTGGTTCGAATCCCATCACGGGACACGGAAGGTTTCTCCAGTAACGGATCAGATCTGAGATAATTTTTAAAACAATTCTGAAGTCCGAATGTATAATATAGACAGATTTTTGTTTTAATTTATGAGCCTGCAAGCATTGTACAGTGTAATTTAAAACAAACAAAGCACAGTCTCTCAAAAACGTCTCTCACATCGTATCGAGCTTTAACTATTTATTTGATAAATGAATATTACAGACAGATATTACATCCCCGTCAGTGCGTTACCATTGTTCCATTCTCAGTTTGACAATTCAGTGTGTCGCAAACCATTCTGGGGCACTTACCGTTACAACTTACCGTTACAAGCGTCCTGTATCAGAGATAGGCAGTGGGTGGATGAAGAGGCTTATATACGATCGCAACGTTGTCATGGGATGAGGAGAACCTTGGTCACGTGTCTTGATAAGAGATTAGATCCAGTTAAATGAACGATCCTTGTGGACAACCCTGTTTATTCTTTAAAACCTCTACTGTGCAACATCGCCTTTTCCCTTTTTAAAACTTTTTGAGTAACGTTGCTGCAAAAATTACCATATTATTTATTTGAAAACGTTTACATGTTTGTGGATCTTAAAAAACTAACAATAGGATGCTCTCTAAAGATGAGACCTTTGATACACATGAGCAGACAATCCGCATCAATCTACTATGCAGATGGATTCTGGTACTAGAGTGGAAATATATTTTACATGACTGTTTTAATTACACTCAGATAATTTTGCCTTTATTAAGCAAGCAAATCGATTGATAATTTAAGCGACAAGCCTTTTCCATATTTATGGTATCGAACAAAGTCAAAGTCGATTGTACGATTTCGTTTAAAAGAAGCAAGCAATAATAAGCTGGTTTGGGATTTGAGAAAACGGGAACTTTACTAGGGCATGTGTTGACAAACGAAAGACGGTCCCTACTATACTGAAAAACACTCAAGATGTATTGCATGGTTTGATTGGGTGATTGTGGAATCGCACACTCTTACGCCTGATATCTTTTGCATATCGGGTTATATGTTTCCTGAAAATTCATCCACATGAAACCATTTCCGGATTCACTGTATGTGTGGATGAGAGTTAAGTTGTTACATGTATAACCTGTTAGTTTCTTGTGAACGTTCTCAACATTGCCCGTAAAGATGTCAAGATGTAACAGTCTGTGGGGTCTCTGACGAGGTGTCACTAGACTTCAATGCTTTCTGGAAAGCAAGCACACACACACACACACACGCACGCACGCACACGCGCACACGCGCACACGCACACACACACTAACACTAACATTAACACAAACAAACAAACAAAACAAACTCTCTCTCACCATTTGGATTGACGTTAATGCTGCCTTACTGCAGGAATATTACACGAGGAAGTTCATAGTATTGTACCAGGATGCATGTCTGGATTACACTAGACAATCACAAATTCATCAATCACAGTTGATGCCTTCTTCCGTCTGCACAAGTTCAAATGATTAGAAGCAAAAGCGTCATTATGAAACCCGTGTTGTGGAAACCCGATATGGAAGCGCAGGTAGCTTTGAATGTAACGGATATGTAGGGTTTACATACACACAACCTAAACACGTAAATCTGGTACATGTTTCAGCAGGAACTATTCAAGTGACAACCAGGACATGTCAAACAAAGAACCCCTGACAATCTGAAATGAATTTCTTTTTCAGCTCCACAGTGCAATCCTTCTCCGTGCGGTTACAACGAAGCGCCAGTCACTTAGCAAAATGCTCAACACAGACATGTCAAGTTGCTGTGCCCAGTTTTCTCAAGCAAACGTTATCTGAAGAGAGACACGGATGACACAGTAGTCTGAGGGACCGCAATTAACCATGCAGATGTGCGTTTTAGTAGTGCAAGGGTACGCAAATGTAGGTTTGAAACCCATACAGGGCTCGTATGGTCCTTTGTTTCTTTGGCATCAAGAACATGAAAAGTACAATACTTTATGGATAACAACCTCTTTATCTATTATGATGCGACGTTTCGGTTATAGCTTCTTTTACCGTTGCATGTTGCACGTTATGTTTATTCAGTAAGGGGGCCACCGACCCTTCATACACATACATGTCAGAAGGATTCGAGGTATGTCATGAAGCGCCATTAAAGTGACGGAATGGACATTGTTTTACATACATACATACATACAAATACTTGTATAGCGCCAATATCCGTAATCCGCTCAAAGGCGCTCTGGCTCTAAGATGGTCAAGATATCACATATAGTTCAAATGCTTCACCAAAGAGACATGTCTTCAGATTTGATTTAAAAAACAGCTAAATCTGGTTGTGTTCTGAGGGGAGATGGAAGATTGTTCCAGAGATGAGGGCCAGCCGTCTCAAGTGACCTGTCACCATATGTTTTTGTCCTAGTCACAGGAATTGTCAAAAGACACTGGTCATTTGATCGGAGAGAACAGTACAGCAGTATAACGGTGGAACAGATCACAGAGGTACTGAGGAGCTAGACCATGTAAACTTTTAAAAACAAGGAGTAGAGTTTTATATTTTATGCGGTAGTGGACGGGAAGCCAATGAAGTGAGTGAAGAACAGGAGTAATGTGGTCCGATTTCTTTGACAGAGACCACTCTGGCTGCAGTATTCTGCACCTTCTGAAGCTTGTGTGTATAAGATTGTTTGGGAGGCCAGCAAGAACCGCATTACAGTAGTCAAGACGAGATGTTACATATGCCTGAACAAGAGATGCTGTAGTCTTGACGTCCAGGTATCGTCGAATCATGCCGATGTTGGTGAATGTGGTAGTACGCCCTTCTACAGATGTTATTGATGTGCGGCTCCATGGACAGTGAAGAATCAAAAATAACTCCCAAGTTTCGCACCTCATGGTTTGGCTGAATCTCACACTGACCGATGCTGAATTTAGGAAGAGAGATACTGGGTTGGAGACGCTTAGGGTGGAAAAACTATGAGTTCAGTTTTATCATCATTCAGTTTGGAGGTAGTGTGACGACATCCAGATTTTGATGCAGCTAACACACTCTTCAATGGTGAGAAATGAAGACACAGCTGATGAGGAAAGTAAGGGTTTGAATGATATGTAAATTTGAGTGTCGTCAGCATATAAATGCAGTCCAAGGTTGAAGGATCTGACGATATCACCTAGAGGAGAAGTATAAATAGTGAAAAGTAGAGGTCCAAGAACAGATCCCTGAGGCACGCCATAAGCAAGATCCTTAGGACTGGAGATGTGACCATCAATGATCACCGACTGATGTCTACCTGCTATGTAGGACTCAAACCACTGAAGAGCAGTTCCTCTAATACCCATCCTGGTCTCAAGTGTATGCATCAGAATAGTATGGTCGATAGTATCGAAGGCACTACTCAAATCAAGTAGAACCAATACTGCAGCACCATCTTTGTCTACGGCTCTCAGTATGTCATTGTGCACTTTAACGAGTGCGGTTTCCGTGGAGTGGGAATTCCGGTATGATGATTGCATGACTTCGAAACACCCATTTAAGGTCATGTGTTTCCTTGAGTCTTGTTGTGACCACACGCTCAATCAATTTTGAGGTGAATGGTAAATTTGTGACTGGCCGATAATTTTAAAAGCTCTTGATCTAAACCTTTCTTTTCAGGAGTGGAGTTACAACTCCATTTTCAATGTATCCGGCATCATACCTTCCTGAAGAGATTTATTGACAACAGAGGTCAATATAGGGGCAAAGGTATCTAGAGAGTTCTTGAGAAGCCATGTAGGTATAGGGTCAAGAATACATGACTTCGTCGGTGACTTAGAAACAAGTTTCACAATCTCTGCTTCTGTTGCTGGTCGGAAATGGGATAGGCATGGAAATGCAGCTATTGGTTGGGGCTCACTGTGTGGAAGGTCATCATGTGAAAGTGAGTCTCTGATTGTGGAAATCTTCTGAGAAAAGAAATCTGAGAACTTGTCAACTAATTAATCAAGGGATGAATGAGATGGCAGAGTCAGGGAATTATCCTTAAACAGAAGCCTGTTAGCTATCCTGAACACGTCCTTCTGTCCATCCACATCCTGCAGTGCAGTTTTGTAATAGCTTGACTTGGCTGTCTCCATAAGAGAGTCAACATGATGTCTCTGGTTGTCATGCATCTGCTTATGAATGGCTAACTTGGTGTGTCTAAACTGTTTCTCGAGTTTACGCCTCAAGCGTTTAGCTGATCGAATGTCGTCATTATACCAGGGTGATTCTGGATGAAGAGTTACAGTACAGGACCTCAATGGAGCATGATGGTCAGCAAGTTTCCTGAGCTGAGTGTCATACAGAGTAACATATTCACTGGCGGTGAGATCTGAAGAGCTAGAAATAGCTGTTGTCATATCCAGCTGAAACTCTTGAAGATCAATGTCCTTCCACTTGCGAAATGAGATTTTCTTTCTGGTTCGTCTTTCAACTGAGATGTTGACATTGAACAAGACACTGTAGTGATCAGACCTTACAGAATGATCAAATCTTACGTTACTGTCCTTCAGTTCATTCTCACGCACAATCACCAGGTCTAGAATATGTCCCTGAACGTGAGTTGGCTCATGTATAACTTGAGTTAGGCCATGAGCTTCCAGAATATTGAGCAGCTTCTGTGCATCTCTGTCATTTGTCTTGTCAATGTGGTAATTAAAGTCCCCACATATTAAGAGCTTACCGTTGTCGCATCATAATAGGTAAAGAAGTTGTTATCCATAAAGAATTTTACTTTTCTATTATCCATCAACTTCTAAAATGTCAATCAAACAGATCATCAAAAACATGCTTTGGAGTTCCGGAAAGTGTAAAATATCAACTTCACTTAATCATTTATGGAGAAAATGCAGATTCGTTGGAAAGAGAAAATTATCAGACACTGAAATTATTAAATACTGAACACACAAATCTTATAAGGGATATTTATTACTTATTGAAGATGGACAAATATGTCGTCGATACATAACGAAAGTGGTTTGTTTTCTTAACCAAATGTATCTTTACAAATACAGATGAGTTCGTTTAGCTACATAGCTAAAACAACTGGCAACAGGTAACTAGAAATGTCGGAAATGATTTCATCCTCAAAGTACAACGTCAATTAATGACAGTAAAGATCTGGATATATGTATATACACAAGAGAACTTTCTGCGCAAAATAACACCGTGCTGTTTCTTCTAATCCCATTTCATCTTTCCTGGTACCATTCAACGTCTACCAAAATGACGTTATGTTCACTTCTCTGTTTCTTTATTTCAGTGGGGTGTTGGGAAAGCCCTGTGTTCGAATCATTCGTGCGCCAAGCTGAACATTCAGATTTCATGACGATGTCTCAAATAG